CAAAAACAGAAATTGCTGGAAAAACTCAGCAGGTCCGGCAACATCTATGGAGAGAAATCAGTGTTCACGTTTCAGGTCGAGTTAACTCTGATTTCTCTGCACAGATACTACCAGACTTACTGAGTTTTTACAGCAATTTCTGTTTTCATTTCTGATTTACAACAACCGCACTTCTTTTGGTTTTTATTTAAGAACAGCCTCAGTCAGTTTAATTGTTGCAGACTAGGGTAAGTGGTGGTGTAGTGGTAATATCACTGGATTAGTAATCCAGAATTTCATACTAATGTTCTGGGGACATGGCAGATGATAAAATTTAAATTCAAAGAAAGAAATTGCGATTTAGAAGTCTAATGATAACCACCATACCATTATAAATTGTTGTAAAAACCTAACATGTTCACGAATGTCTTGTTTAGAAGATAATCGGAACTACATGCAAATCTCAACCCACAGCAATGTGATTGATGCTTATCTGCCCTCTGGGCAACTAGGGATTGGCAATAACTGCTGGCCCAGCCAGCAACGCCCACATCCCATGAATAATTATACAACAGAGTTTTGTGGAAGTGAAAGGATAATTCCAGCCACTTTCAGTGTTGGTAAGGCAAAAGTTAAAATTGTGAAACAAGCAAAAACAGAAATTGCTGGAGAAACTCAGCAAGTCTGGCACACCACCCGTGTAGATACAACAGAGGCAGTGTTTCAAGTCCATTCTCCAGCAATTTCTGATTTTGTTTGTTTCAGATCTCTAGCATTCGCAGTTCTTAGTTTTATTTTAGTGTTTAATTCAGTGCCACATCTCCTCCAAGTATGCCGTTCTGAGGAAGGTTCATTAGACTCAAATTTAACTCTGGTTTCTACCCACAGATGCTGTCAGATCTCTGGCATCCTTAGCTCTTTGTTTTATTGTAGTTAAAGTTGTGGTTTAAGTGCCTGAAATAGAAAGTGCTTAATTTATGATACCAATGTTTAAGACCCTTTGGCAAGAAAAGAAACTTGTGTGTCCTTAAATTTGCCCAGGTGAAAGGTCAGTTGTGCGTTTACTTAGAGATAATTATTCTCTGCTGATCAAGATTGGTTGGACACACCTTATTTCTTTAACCTTCCTGGTTAGATTTGATGCAGTTTGTTTGATCCATTGTTATCAACTGTGTCATTGAATCAGGCATACCAACAGCCATTTCTTTGCAGAGATCAAGCCAAAGAAAATGCAAGTTTGGAGGGTGGAACCGCATAAGTTAACAACATAATTAAGCTTCACAAGAACCAATAAGATTGGTCTGCTGAAGACTGACGTTTTGATGTGAATCAAGGCTTTTAATTCTGTTCCAAAACGGTTTAGGTTGGAATTTACAGAGTATGGTCATGCTTTTCTAAAGGTATGTGCCGATTCAGTCCCGCCCCTCCATTGGTATTTACTCTGGGTGTCTTAATGGGCACCAGACCAACTTTTCAATATCCTGGCCAGCCATTTGATTCCATTTCCTGTTGACATGCAGTAAAAAGTTGAAATTAGGACAAACATCGCCCATTTGTGTCCTGACGTTCCTGTGGGAAACTGTCAGATACTTTTCATAGTTTCTCTGAGAAACACTGAGCATAAACTTGGTGAGATTTTTACACCAGCTAGATTTGGCAATAACTTGATCTGAGCACAAGCATTTTTAAATTCAATAAACCAATATTGGAAACCTGCCCAGCGTACTACATTTCCATGTTTTTGGATAGTCCAATGGGACATTCAGAGAGTAACGTGCTGTATATGTTCAAAACACATTGAACCCTACAAGGACTTGTTTGTTTAATTTCACTTATGTCATTTATTTCAGGACTTAAGAATTTCTAAGTATTGCATGTTTCAATATGTGAGTCATTTTTCTGATGCATTTGGGTGTCCTTATGGCTGTTGCTTAAATCCCTTTACCACTGAAGGAGGCAGATCATTCTGATTCCAAGTGGGAACACAGTGGATCTGTGCCGAGGGTTTCAGTGGACTTTTCAACCAAAGGGAGACATCACAGCTAATTCTGATCTAGGGTCTGCACGTGACATGCACAGAGAAACTCTAAATCCAGCATGGGCCATGAAATAGTGTTTGAGATTGCAAATCCGAGACTGATTCCCTATGGATCTGAACTACTGAGGGCGGAAGCTGAAAGATGAGCAGGTGCTGGGTTTTCACAGGATTCAAACTGGGTCCATTATCCAAGTCCTGGCCAGAATCAGAGCAGGAACCTGAGCTTGTGGAGCAGACAGCCACAGACCAGGAGTTCCATGTGGTCCAGGTAAAAATGCATGCCAGCTATGTCCACAGGGAGGTGGTTTTCAAGATGCTATCCATTGTAGTACACAAACCAGTTACATAGACCTAGAAATCTGGGATGTACAAAGCCGTTTTGAACCACATTTGCACGTACAGTGAAAGGAATCTTCTGCTCCCAAGAATTGGATGTGGTGGTGACTGGGTAGAATCACTGGATCAGAGCCCCTGGCTAATATTCTGTGTCATGGGTTGGAATCCCATTATGGCAATTGGTGACATTTTACTTCATAAAAATCTGGAATCAAGTGGTAGCCTAATGGTGACCATGTAGCCACTTTTGTTGTAAAAACCCATCTGCTTTTCTGATGTCCTTTAGGGAATGAAATCTGCAATCCTTACCTGGCCTACGTGTGATACCAGACTTGTAACAGTGTGGTCAATTCTTTATTAATCTCTGGACAACTATGGATGGGAAATAAATAGTGGCCTAACCAGTGACCCCACATCTCCACAGAGAAACATAGGCAGGTGGAAGGAAATGCAAATAATGGGGTGGCTGGCCACAACACACACAGCGCAGGGACACTGTTGACATGCATTTAGAACAGACACTTGCATATAGAACCTGAAGCATGCTTAAGGCATGTGCCATGGCTGCCCTACTAAATGCCCAAGAGTGTGGGTGGTGTACTTTCCATGCAAAATGAGTACCAGCTGCTCAAGATATTGGAGCCTTAAAATGTTCACTTTATGCCTATAACACAGGCACAGCAATATCCAATTTCTAAGTCTTTGTCTCCATTTGGGTCGGTATGTCAGGTAGCATGGCTTCCACAACTGCTCATTTAATGAAAAAAATGAGTTGGATGAAGTTCAGAAAAGGCATCCAAGTTTTAACTCCCACTGAGATGATATTTGCAGACTTCCATGAAGGAAAATCTGTGTTTCGTACATAATTGTTACTTTGTTTGGGTGACTGTTGGTATATGGGACGATAAAACTGCAGGAATGTTGCTGGCGGTTGTTCCACAGGATTGTTTGCATGTTTGGTCTGCTCTTGATATAGCCCCTTATTTATCCTGTCCGACCTTTGGCAAGAACGATGTGTACTTTAAATAACTTCATTGGGTGATTTATTTTGCTCCAAACCTGCACTTGCCCAAAATTAAGCTTAAAGGATAGATGTCAAATTTACCTTCTAGCACAGCCCAAGTTTCAAACTTCTTGGGAAACTTTCTAAATTTAAAAGTCCCAAGTTATTTCTATCATTGATGGAAGTACTAGCGGTATATAAAATTCCTACTGAGCCATAACAGCTGTGATATATCTGTTTGTATGTTCCAATATCAAGACACAGTCCTTATTAGTTAAGGTCTCTGACCTAAGTGTTTTGCAAATTAAATGTTTTTCCGACCATGTGAATGATGTAAATGTTTTTGCCAAAAATCTATGAAGTAATTAGTTAACCCCAAGGGGTACGTTGTGTTTATCATCTTTGCTTCTTGATTCTAGTACTAACTGCATAATGACCACATTATCTTGCAAAATCATTGTTTAGTGTCATAAAGACAAGGTCACAGCACAAGTATATAATCATATTATGTGCCAATGGATGAGGAAAGCCACTCATCCCATTTTTGTTCATCCTTCATTAATTTATCTAAAGTCCATGCCATCAGACATCGTGCCTGTTCAAGGGTGAGATGGACAGATTTTTAATCCGTAAGGGAATCATGGGTTACAAAGATTAGGTAGGAAATTATATTTGAGAATTATCAGAGCAGTCACGATCTCGTTGATGGTGGAGTGGTCTCACTGAGCCAAACGGTTTATTTCTGCACCTACATCTTACGGCGATTCATCCTAGTACCCTTTGTTCTACTCCCACCAATTATTTTAAAGGGGTATTCCAGATTAATGTTTCCCATGTCGTTTTATTATATCTCACACCTCCCTATCACCATAAGAACATAGAAACAGAAGTAGACTATTCTGCCCATTGAGTCTACTCCACTAGTCAATGAGATCACCCCCTCTCAGGCATCGCGTTTCCCAGTGTGAAAGTCCACAGTTCTCCCAGTGTTTTGTCAAAGCCTGACACCAGTGATCAACTTGTTGCATGTGCTGCCAAAACAACATTTAGGTTTCTGAAAGCCAAGTAAGCGACCAAATGTTAAAAATTGTCACACCTTTCTGCAGCAGCGAGGTCTCCACACTAACCAGCAGGGTAGCTGTTTCAGCTAAGCTCTCAGAACAGTCAGTTCCTACCTTGACAGCAAGTCAACCAGGCCAAAACATCCCACTGAACCAGCAATTCCTTTTGTAGGAGCTATGTGATTATGTACAGAAAGGAAGTAAAGAATAGAATTGGTGTATGTCTGTGAGCAATGTCAGGCAGTGTGGTAAGGACTGATTTTTATCTTTGTATCCACAAAGATTGACAGGAAATGCTAAATGTGAGCATATTTGTTTAAATATCTATAATTGTTAATTTTTAAAAAGTATGCATATTTAACTTATTTTTAATCCTGAGTCTTGTAGCACTCTCCCTTCATTTCAAAAATAACTGGTTGCGTGAGATGCTTGATGACTAACGACAGTTTGAGCTTAGTGAATGTAAGAAGGATACTTGGAAAGAGTCAGCATTAGCAGAGTTATGTCAGTGTTAGCTGACCTAAATCAGTGGCAATTCCACTGCCTGGTTCCTCTTCTGATATTGTGGCAAATGTTTCCACAGGCCACTCTGCATTTCGGTGCAAGCTGCAGACGTGCAGAAGAACTACATGGTTATTATGTAATGGCGACCAGTGTCTGAGACTTCTGCAGTCATGTCATTAGCAGAAATGGATCTTGTGACTGTTTTGGAGCAGCTACGTGATGCAAGATACATCAAAGTGAGATATTCTTGGAGCATATATCAGACACGTACAATGTACTGCTACAGAGTTGGAAGCTTTCCCTGAGGTTGAGAAAGGTCATGTACAGAGGTTGGTGCTGTTCCTTACAGTTTTCTTAAATTAACCGCACAAAGACAATCACGCCTATGGTGTGTTGCAATGAGCAAAATCGCACTGCAACTGTGGAAGGCACTCTGCAACTACTGGAGGAGTTGATGTGGATGTTTCCTTGCAAAGATCTTCCCTCTGGCAGACAACAGAGAGACTTTTCTGCAGTTACTGTGATCACACTTATCTCCATTCTTGAATGTAGATAGGATGGCAATATTACCAAGATCCCCCACATGCACCACTTTTCCCAGTTGAGCGATATGAGGTTGTGTAGCTGTGTCAGGAGTGTATGTTTGCCATATTTCAGATTTCAGCAGGGATTCCATCTGCTTCAGAGGTCTTGTCATTTTTATTTAACTGCTCAAATGCTTTTTCTACTTTGCTGCAGTCTAGGGGGGTGGGGTAGTGGCAAAATTGATTTGGGCAGACCATTGAGTAATGAAGCTGAGGATTCTCAAGTTGAAGACAGAGCCCTGGATGAGAAGTTCATGAGTGTGTTGTCTCCAATGAGCACCGACTGCCTCCCTATCCTTGAATGAGGGCCCCTCCCTAGTTCAGCTGTGCAATAAGAAAAAGCTGGTGATAGCAGGGGATAGCAGAAATCATTAAGCAGGTAAATGTGTGGCTTAAAGATTGGTGTGGGAGAAATGGGTTTGAATTGTTGAATTCATGAATTCATTGGCACCTTGGGGAAGAAGGGACCTGTTCAGATGCGATGGTCTGCATATGAACTTGTGCTGGGACCAGAATCCTAGTGAATCGCATAACTAGGGCTTAAACTAAATGGGGGGTGGGGTTGGGGATGGAGTGTTTGGTTGTTGGGGAAATTAGAAAACCCAAATTAAAGGAGGAGGTAAGAGCGCAGGTTAGCGATGTGGCAGATGGTTACCAGAAAATAAAGGTGAGGGACAGAACAGGTGAATGTCTTTATGCACCAAGGATTTATAAAAGAGAAGGGAAATTTACCAGTAGAACAAATCTAAAGGCTTTGTATCGAAATGCACGAAGCATTTGAAACAAAAGTAATGAGTTAATGGCGCAAGTAGAAACAAAAGGGTCCAATTTGGTACTGATTACTGAGACATGGTTACAAGGAGACCAGGTCTGGGAATTGAATATCCCAGGGTATTTGGCATTTCAAAGGGATAGACTGAAAGGAAAAGGAGGTGATGTAGCTTTGCTGGTGAAGGAAGGGATCAGTGCTGTAATGAGAAATGACATAAGCATGGGACATCAAGATGTGGAATCAGTCTGGGTAGAAATTAGAAATAAGAAATAGCAAAGGGAAGAAGTACTTGGTAGGAGTAATGTATAGGTCCCCAAACAGTAGTTCTGCAATGGGGTACAGTATAAACGAGGAAATACTAGAAGCTTGCAAGAAAGGTACGGCAATAATCGTGTGATTTTTACACGCACGTAGATTGGAAGAATCAAATTGGCAAGCGTAACCTGGAGAAAGAGTTCATAGAATGTTTCTAGGAGCAGTATGTTGTGGAACCAACCAGGGAGCAGGCTACTCTGGATTTGGTACTGTGTAGTGAGGAGAAATTAATTGATGACATCATAGTTAAGGATCCTCTAGGCAGTAGTGACCATAGTATGATAGAATTCAAAATTCAGTTTGGGGGGTGAGAAAGTGCAGTCCCGCAGTAGTGTTCTGGAATTATACAAAGGGAATTACATAGCATGAGGACAAATTTGGCCCGAGTAGATTGAGCAGGAAGGCTAAAAGGTAAGACAGTGGATGAGCGGTGGCAGTTGTTTAAGGATCTACTCAATTCCTCACAATTAAAATATATCCCAGTGAGGAAGACGGGAAGGGAGTGGGGTAAAAAAAAATCCATGGCTAAACAAGGAGGCCAACGACAATATAAAGTCAAAAACTAAGGTATACCATATTGCAAAGGCCAGTGGCAGGCAGGAGGATTGGTAAACTTTCAAACATAAATGAAGGGATACTAAAAAATTAATAAACAAAGCTAAGGTGAATTATGAAAGAAAACTAGCACAAAATATCAAAAAGGATAGCAAAAGCTTCTGTAGGTATATAAAAGGGAAGAGAGTCGCTAAGGTGAATGTTGGTCCTTTGGTAGATGAAACTGCAGACTTAATGGTAGGGAACACTGAAATGGCAGAGATGCTAAATCAATACTTTGTCCTCCACTGTGAAAATTGAGGCAATAATACCATTCCAATTGGAACGGGCAAGTCAGAGGCAATAGAAAAAGTAGAACTTAGAACAATCAACATTGATAGGGAAAAGGTACTCAGCAAACTATTAGGATTGAGGATGACAATTTATATAAGCCTGATGGCCTATATCCTAGGGTATTAAAGGAAATGGCGGCAGAGATTGGATCCATTGGTTACAATATTCCAAAATTCCCTGGACGCAGGAAAGGTTCCAATGAATTGGAAAAATGCTAATGTAATGCCCTTGTTCAAAAAGGGATGGGGGCAATTTGTGGGAAATTACAGACCAGTTGGTTTAACGTCAGTTGTTGGCAAAGTGTTAGAATCAATAATCAAGGAGGCAATATCAGGACATTTGGAAAGTCAAAACACTATCCATCAGAGTCAGCATGGTTTTATGAAGGGCGAATCATGTTTAACTAATTTGTTAGAGTTCTTCGAAGATGTAAGAAGCAAAGTGGATAATGGGGATCCTATAGATGTGATATATCTGGACTTCCAGAAGGCGTTTGATAAGATGCTGCACAAAAGGTTATACCACAAGGTTGAATCATATGGGATTAGGGTAATTTATTAGCTTGGATAGAGTAGTTGGTTGGTTTGCCGAGCTGACTGGTTTTCATGCATACTAGCTTGTATAGGTGACTGGCTGATGGAGAGAAGACAGAGAGTTGGGATAAATGATTTTTTTTCTAGATGGCAGGAAGTAACAAGTGGGGTGCCATGGGGTTTGGTCCTTGGAGCCCAGCTATTTACAATCTACATTAACGACTTGGATACAGGGATAGAAGGCTCTGTAGCCAAATTTGTGGACGACACAAAAAATAGGCAGGACGGTAAATAGCAACGAGGAAATAGGAACCTTGCAAATGCACATAGATAGGTTAGGAGAATGGGCCAAAATGTGGCAGATGGAGTTTAACGTGGATAAGTGTGAGGTCATGCATTTTGGTCGGAAAAATGGGAAGGTGACTTATGATCTAAATGAGGAGAGACTTCAGGATGCTCCGGTGCAAAGGGATCTGGGTGTCCTTGTTCATGAGTCACAGAAAACTCGCATGCAGGTACAGCTGATAATAAAAAAAAGTGAATGGAATGTTGGCTTTTATAGCTAAAGGAATAGAATATAAAAGTAGGGAAGTATTGTTACAACTATACAATGCATTGGTGAGACTGCACCTGGAGCATTGTGCATAGTTTTCGTTCCTTTATTTGAGGAAAGATGTGGTGGCATTGGAGGCTGTTCAGAGGAGGTTCACTAGATTTGATCCCAGAGATAAAGGGTTTGTCGGATGAAGAGAGATTGAACGGTTTAGGCCTATACTCTCTGGAATTTAGAAGAATGCGGGGAGATCAAATTTGAGATATTCAAGATGATAAAAGGTATAGATAAAATAGACATGGAGTGGATACTTCCTCTTGTGGGGCATTCTAGGATGAGAGGTCATTGTCTTAGGATAAGGAATAGCAAATTTAAAATAGAGTTGAGGAGAAACTACTTCTCCCAAAGGGTTGCGAATCTGTGGAATTCGCTACCCCAGAGTGCAGTGGATGCTGGGACAGGGAGTAAATTTAAGGAGGAGTTAGACAGATTTTTAACTGGTAATGGGTTGAAGGGTTATGGGGAGAAGGCAGGAAAATGGGGGTGAGGAGCACAATCGAATGGCAGAGCAGACTTCAGTGGGCTGAATAGCCTAATGCTGCCCCTATATCTTATGAACTTATGTCCTCAAAGCATCCCTGAAGTGAAGTTAGGGTTTATCAGATCAGCCATGATCTCATTGAATGGTGGAGCAGACTCAATGGGTTGAATGGCCTACTTTTGATCCTATGTATTGTGATATTATGGTTAATTGAAACTATCTTTGAATCATTTTATTAAAAAGTGCGCGTGGATAATAGTAATCTGTCTGCACTTCAATTCGTGGCAAATTAAACCCTAGCTACTTGTATCTTCCTGTCAGGATCCAGTTTTTTTCCCCAAGATGTTACCTTATTGAAACAACATCCTCCATTAGAAACTTCTGGTTATGGCTTCCCTGAGAAACATTTTACTTGGTTTTCAAAGCTGTCAAATAGATTGTAAAGTTCAGTTTGCAGTTGAACAATTTGTAGTTTGTACCAGAACAGCTAACAACTTGAAAACATCTTTCTTTGCTTTTGCATCATATTGATTTGGTGCTAGAGCAAAAAAAAGGAGGGAATATGTTACGTACTGAATAAAAAGAGAAAATACAAGCTTGTATTCCAAATCAAAAATTAAACGCAAGCAGCTGTTTGTGTCTCTTGACCTCAAATTACCTTCAGTCCCAACGTGAGCACATTGGAAGACTTTAGTTACAGCACAATTGAGCCTTATTAATGAGTTTTACATTGCTTCTATTTGTTGAAAGTGAAGAAGATATTTGAAGATAAAGTATATCTGAACTCCGGTGCTGTGTGATCTACTCTGTTTTGGGATCACTTTGCCGGTATGGAATTAATAAGAAGGTGTTGCTGTCACAGATTTTGGCAGAATGTCTGTTCCTAGTGGGTTTCTTTTTAGTATGTGAGCATCAGAATTTCCTTTCACATGGAATAATCATTAAATGTCTTTGGTTTCAGGTCTGTCTCGCTAAACTCTGAAGCCATCCCAGATATCGCTGAGAATGTCAAGCCTGGTTGAGCTGCAGCGAGGGAGTTTTTTTAAGGTATTGCAATTTTGAGGGGGCAACCTTTCACAAAGGCGATGGTTTTATAAGTATCCTCTGTTCCTCTTTTTCAGTTTGCTTTCCTATTTTTATTTTGCTTTAAGCTGATTCTCATTCACTTTCTTTACTGCACCCCTTATATCCACTTTGCACCACTCCCCTTTTTTTCTGGAAGGGTGATCTCAGACACTTCAATTCAACAGCATTTGTTAGTCCTTTGCCAGGAAACATGCTTGAGAGATGAGGAAATGATCCCACCCTGGTTATGTTTCCTTTTTCCTATGGACAGCTTGGTCGAGACAGTCAGAAACTTGGATGTAAAAGTTATGGGTATATTAAAAAAAAAAAGTTAAACGCTGAACAAGCAGCCTTATATTATAGCTATCTCAATGTCTTGTTTTTAGTAACCTGCTGTTAATGACTTGGCAGACAAATATGAGCTGATCAGGGAAACCAGCATGGATTTGTAAAAGGTAAGTAATCGCAACAAATGAAGCTAGTGCAATTTTTTTGAGGAGGTAACTAATTTAGTACATAAGGATATTAATCGTGCAAACTGCCGTAAAATATTTTACAAGGATCAATGTATGACTGTTAATTAACATGAGAACTTGTAGCTTTGCAGTATCCTATTGACATGGGTAGGGAATTGGACAGAAATTGGTACATCCTCAAATTGGCAGGATGTGACTAATAACTAGGGGTTAGTGTGGCCTCCACAGCTTTTCACAATAAGTAGAAATGATTTGGATGAAGGAACAAGACACAGGCGGCACAGTAAATAGCATGGATGGGATTAGAAAGTTGCAAAAATGTAACAATTGATTAAGTGAAAAACACTGTGGCAGATGGAGTTCATTGTTGGAAACCCTCCCCACTTTAGACCTGAGGAAGAGCGATCAGATCATTTTGTAAATGGTGAGAAGCGAGGACTGTGAATGAGTTACGATGTGGAGGTGCCGGTGTTGGACTGGGGTGGACAAAGTCAGAAGTAACACGACACCAGGTTATAGTCCAACAAGTTTATGTGAAATCACAAGCTTCTGGAGCGCTGCGAAAGCTTGTGATTTCAAATAAACCTGTTGGACTATAACCTGGTGTCGTGTGACTTCTGACTTTGTGAATGACTTGAAACCGGACGGGACCCCTAAGTACAGAAATCACTGCAGCTAGTGGAGTGTTCTCAACTAAAAAGGCCAATGTAGCAGTTGGCTCTTATTTCAAGAAACCTGAAATCCGATGAGATTGAACTGCTTTACAGTTGTACAAATCTCTGATTAAACCCCATAATATTGCATTCAGTTCTGGGCACTGTGCTAACATGCAGGATATGTTGGCCTTTGAGGTGGTGCAGTACACAAAATGATACAGGACTAAAATGGTTAAATTATAACGGCAAGTTACATTGCTGTGTTGTATCCTTTTCAGTACAGAGATTTAAGGGATGTTTCGGATGATTAAAGGATTGAAAGCAAAGACAGGGAGAAGCTATTTCCTGTGGTAGGAAAGTCCAGACTAAAGGGCATAAGATTAAAGTTGGAGCTCGTTCACTCGTGGTTGATGTCAGGAAGCACTTCTGTTCACAAAGGATAGTAGAAATCTGAAATTGGCAGATTTCTGTTAGAAGGGCTGTGGGCAGATGGAGTTAAAGTACAGATCAATCTTTAAATTATGGAATCTAAATGTGAACAACACAAGAAAGTTGTTTTCATGCATTTTCAAGTGAGTTTATCACTGTGGGTTGAAGTGTTGGACATGTAGCATCTCCGGGAAGTCAGACATTTCATTGTCACATGATACTGCAGTACATCCTGAGGCGATGAGTGATGCTATATATAAGATGTATTGGTAAAGAAGCTTAATCCTGATGTGGGCTGTTGCTGACTTCATTTTTTCTTTAAACCAAAAAGCAGCACATGGTGCAAACTGTATTTGGTAAATCTGTTCTTTAGTACAGAATATAAATAAAGATAATAGAGTGCTGATGCTGTGTAAGAACTTATTTTCAGTATCTAAATTCTGTGGAATGTCTTTCTGTGGTCACGGCTGTTTGGTGTTTTATGAAGTTTGTGGGAAGTTGTGGGATGCAAACTGGAACATCTGACTTTATCTCCTTTCAGAGGAGCAACATGTTGCTACTTTAATGATTGTAGGAGTACTACTTAGTAGTGTGTGCAGGGTCACGGAAGCCAGTCATGCTGAGTGGGTCTTTTTTTTAATTTAGTGACATTCTACATTTAAAAATAATGACCTGTATTTGACACATCTAATTTCTTTTTAAATAAAGTTATCTCACAGTGTCAGAGAGACTCAGTTTTTACAACACAGAAGGAAGCCCTTTGGCCCATTCTGTGCTGGTCATCAAACATCCATCTATTCTAAGATAACACAGTATGGAGCTGGAGGAACACAGTAGGCCAGGCAGCATCAGGGGTGCGGAAAAGCTGATGTTTCGGGTCAGGACCCTTCTTCAGAAATGAAGAATTCTCCATCTGTTCTAATTCCATTTTCCAGAATGTGGCCCAGAGCCTGGTGTGCTGTGGCGTTTCAGGTGCTAATCTAAATAGTTCTTAAATGTGTTGAGGTTTTAAGCCTCTACTGCCCTTTCTTCAGGCAGTGAGTTCCAGATAACCACAACCATATGGGGAAAAAAAATCTTTTCTCGAATTCCTCTAAATCCCCTGCTCCTTGCCTTGAAACTGCATCCCTGGTTGTTACCCCTTCTCTCAGGGGATAGATTTTCCCAATCTACCCTGTCTATGTCCTCCAGAACTTTGTACACTTCCATGAGTTCCCCTCTCAGACTGCTCTGCTCCAGGGAAAACAACCCTAGCCTATTCCATTCTGAAGAAGTCATACTGGACTCGAAACAATAGCTCTGTTTTTCTCTTTCTGAAGATGCTGCCAGACCTACTGAGTTTCTCCAGCGTTCTCTGTATTTGTCTAGTCTCTATTCATAGTTGAATTGCTCCAGCCCAGTCAACACCCTGATGAATCTCCCTTGCATCCCTTCTTGAGCAGTCACATCCCTTCCTATAGTGGGGCAACAGAACTGCACACAGTACTCCAGCTGGGGCTAACTAATGTTGTATTCAGCTCCATCGTAACCTCCTTGCTGTTTTATTCAGTGCCTTGACTTATCAAGGCAAGTATCCCATACACCATCTTAACCATCTCAACTAGCTGTCCTGCAACCATCGACGATCTACCTCCACAGGTCTGAATGGGGTTGTGATCTTTTCAACATAAAATCTCACTCCTAAAATTCCCCCAGTGATTATAGATCTCGGAAGGAAAACGGCAGATTTATCATTTGCTGTTCCTGTGTGATTCAGACTAAATAAAGTAACTCTACTCTCCTCCAGTACTGCGTATTTTCATTTAATATTGGTAGAGTTTGTTAAAAGTACTTTTCTTTAATCATTCAGTGCAAGAGGTTGCTGGTGGTTATCTGATTCATTCCCCAAGTATCTTTCAGAGTTCTGTGATACCAAGCGTTTTGAAGTCTCTGAATAGTAGTAAGGTGACATTTCACTGGGACATTGGGATTCACCGAGTTTGGTGGCAATTAGTGCTGGATGGAGTGAACACCATCCTACTCTCTGCCCACAAAGGTTTCTAAGTGTTTTGATCAGAGACCAGCTCTAACCTGGCATCTGATCCTGCCTGGTGCCCTCTAAGGGGGTCTCTCCCACAACTACTGCTTCCGCTTTGCCTGGCTTCATGTCCTCCTCCCATTCCTTGTGAAGGCCAAAGGTAGACAGATCCCTGACCAGACGCATGACCAAGGACACTATTTCTCCTGGTGTCTTCTATAATGTGTCCAGTAAGATGATGCCCTCAAGAGAATTTTCAGAATAACTTTTGATAGAACGTTTTCAAAATGTTCCAGAATTTCTCCCAGTACCTTTTAATAGTTCACTTCCAACCTCCTGGCAAACAGTGAAAGCTGAACTTTTGTTCAGAATTGTAAACATTACATTTTAAACTCTGGCTTGTTTAGCTCTGAACCAATATTGCTTGTAGCAGCTCAGCAGAGTCTGTTTTTTGAAGTGCTACCAACTTAAGTGCCATGCATCATCTTTAATGATCAACAGCAGGCAATCCAGTTGTAAATCAGATGTTTAAACAGCTTCCAGGTGACTGTTCCTGGAACACAGTTCAATTCCTTGGCTAAGATTGTATCTCGTGTTATAGACATTGTTGCATAAGACTACATCTTGTCTACTGCGGAAATGTTTTAGTGCTGAAAGTATCTGGAAAACTTCACAATCTGTGTCTAATCTTGGAAACAGAAAGTGGGAAGTATAAATTACATTTAAATTGTGTCCAAAATGTGCAATGAAGATCGGGAGAAAAGAAACAGTCGAGGTTATGACAACCAGATAAAGGAAATAGAAAATGGTCTTTTAAAAAAAAAATTCAACTTTTGATTTTGTTTTGAAATACCCATCACTAGTTAACTTCAGAAAAATGACATTTGTGAAGTTTCAGTGTTGCATAAATTGCCTACCTGCAATAATCATTTACTGGTGGCATTGGTTCAGAGTTAAATTTTGTACCATAATGCACATGCGAAGCACACTAAGTTCTTTTACCACCCATTAAAGGTGCTATTTAATGACAAGCTGTTGTTAAAAAAAATTTCCTCTGCTAAATGTACCAACTCTGCCGTCTTTAGAGTGGATTTTGTGGACGAAGATTTCACATTTTGCCACTGTATTGATTTCAGTGCATGTCTCATCAGCAAGAATTATTATACCGAATCCTCGAAGTGCAGAGTATGTCAGACAGCATTTTACAGATTTATGTGTTCAACAGTGCAGGTGCCAATGCTGGAACTTGCAGTCTGATTTACTGCTTAAAACAGTAAAGAGTACTTGCCGTTATTCTCACTGCCAATCAATTATTTTAATCTTTTTGAGCACCATTAACAGTTATAAAAGGACAAAAAAATTATGATGCCTTATCGATGGAAATGTTCCAAAATGCTGTTTAATTGAGCGCAATTACAATGGGTACTGAGGCAAATAAGATGATGTTATGGAGCTGCTTCTTGCTGGATATAAATAGTGTGGGTGGAGTTAGAAAGATTGTGAGTAGCTTTGGTTGATGTCTAACCAAATGAATGATGGAGAGGGAAACATGTACAGAGAAGCATGTGGAGTAGAGTTTATGGAGTGTGCATAATTCATGGGCTCTGACCAGCCAGCTCAGAGCCAGTCCCCAGACTGAGAAGACTCTCTGAGTCTCCTGTTTATATCTGTCAGACCGGGCTCCCTGACTGGCCTGTTAACCTGGGCCAATCGAGGATCTCATAGCCAGAGATCCACCTGGCCCTTGTTCCAGTCACTGCACAATAAACTGAAGAGGAACCATCCGAATTTTCCGCCTTTTAAAGGATTATTTCAAACAGTTCCTGATGCAGGGGACTTTCCCATTAAAATCTTCAATTTCCCAGGCCATTCCCACAAACTCTGCTGGATCTGGACTACCGCATGGTCCTGACATGGAAGGCCAGTCTATGCTGCTCTATCTGGCCATCAGAGTATCTTGGCCTTACGTAATAAACAATGTTATAAAGAAGCCCAAGCTTCTCTATTATTCTTGACTTTTCCTTCTCCTCAATACATCCCTCTTGAATCCAAGCCCATGATTGTGGGCATTGAACCACAGAACAAAAGGGAACATTCCCAAAAACAACAATGTGGTCCGATTACGAAGTAATTTCCACATGTAAACACAGAAATGATTCAAGTCTTTCGGCCATCACAAAAATATTGTTTTTAGCGAAAAGCAGTTTTGTATTAATGCTAAAGTTGAAATGTAACTTTGGAGTTGGGAACTGGACTTGATTCTGGAGTAAAGTGGAGCATGTTTTTGTTTGCAGAAAGCATTATTACTGTCGTTGTGGTACAAATGCAGCTTACATTTAGTTTGCACATGGTAAATGTGTGCAAATTCCTTGTGAGCTGGTGGCAACTAAAAACACTGTGAAGCAACAATCAACAAAACAATCAAATGTTGAACATTGTAGTCAAACTGTAAACACTGGTCGAAAAACTTATATTAAAAGAGTATCATGCATTGAATTAGAATGCACCTTGCATTTTGTATCCCATGTTCATTAAATGATGATGGAATATTCCAATCCAGTAGTCAACATAAAGGAAAACCATGAGACTGTTCACTCGTATTGAAGTAAGTTTTAACAACAAAAGATTTTCATTTATTTAACACTTTCATGACCTCAGAGGATGTCCCAAAGCACTTTAAAGACAATAGAACATTTGAAGTTTAGTCATTGGTACAATGTTGTAATAGATATATGATGATGACCAGATAGAGTTTGAAGAACAAATATAAATATAAATATATCCCACTGGGATATCTCCACTGCTGCTCTCTGAAATATTGCCATGTAATTTTTTCATCTGCCTTAAAGGGCAGACTGTATCCCGGGTTAATGTTTCATTTGAAAGATGGCACCTCTGACAGTTCTGCACTCCCTTCATTCCACACGGAAGTGTCAGCCTGGATTCTGTGCTGAAGTCCTGAGGTGAGACTTGAAGCCACAACCTGCCAACTGAGCAAGGACTGACATGAGTTATGAGAATATTCTGGAGAAAGCTTGGCTTCTCAGCTTTGATAGAAGGTGATGTGAGGAGAACTTGCTGAAGTAAGTCTAAAAGTAGTATGGAGTAAGGAGTCCTCACAAAATACAAGAAATCCTGTGTTAAAGCTTTACCAGGTTGACACCTGATTTGCAGGTGTGCCTGGTGCTGCTCCTGGCATGCCCTCCTGCACTCTCCTTTGACCCAGGGTCTATCCCCTGGCTTGACGGTAATGATGGATTCAGGGATACGCTAGGCCATGAAGTTAGTGTTGGAGCACAGTTCTGCTGCTGATCCCCTCGGTCGTGGATACCCAGTCTTGAGTTGCTAGATGTGTTCAGAGTGTGTCCCATTTTAGCCAAGTGATAGTGCCACACAGTATCATGGAGTGTATCCTCAGAGTGTAGATGGAATTCATCTCCACTGTGTGGTGGTCACTTCTACAGATACTGTCATGGATAGATACTTCTGAGGCAGGCAAATTAGTGAGGTGATGGGTGAGGGCAGTGTTTTTACCTTTTGGTTCCTTCATCCATCATCCTGCTGCGTATTGAGTGTAGCAGCTGATCCCCACCGAGAGTACTTTCTGACACCTTGCCATCCTCAGTGCTTCCTCTAAGTGGTGTTCAGCCTGGAGGAGTACTGGTTTGATATCCAAGGCTTTTATTTGGGGTGGTGGAGAGATGTAGTACATGGTCACTATTAGCAGGTTTACTTGCCCATATTTAAGCTGATGCCATGAGACATTACAGAGTGCAGAGTCCATGCTGAGGACACCAGTGCATCTGTCCCCTGACATTGTACGACTGTGCTGCCAATACCTTTGCTGGATCTGTCCCAGGCTGGTTAACCCAGTTGCCTTGGTGACCATTGTGCTAACAGTTTGGCATTCAGTCCCCGTTCCAGCTGAACTGGATTTGGGAATTGTCTCCTTACATTACCCATTGTGGAGATCATGATGCTGTGAGTCAGACCTGCCTTTGGTCAGAGAACTTGAGTCTGGGTAATGGGTAATTGGGGATATACCAAATCTTAAAGCCCTGCCTGCTTTTGGGTCGAGTTAGATTTTTAGTTCCAGTGGGTTAGTCTATTTTTGCCAATGCAAGAAAATTGCACCTGAAGAGTGGAAACTTTGCTGTTTATACAACTGGTTCTTTTTACCAAAACCTGCAGCAGTACACATGAAATAGGAATGTGTTCAAAGGAATATACTGAATGTTTTTATTGTAGCAGGAATTGGCAGGAAACTTGGTTTTTAATGTAGACACAGGTGAAGTTTGAAAGTGAGTACAAAGTTAAGCTGTTCACTTCCTATTTGTCCTTTGATTTTTACTGTAGTCAAATATTATTCAGAAGTCGCACAAAATGTGGGTAACTGTCATTTTACAGCTTGAAATAAGAATAGTGTGCATTCCAAAGTATTTGCCTTTATTAGGAGCGTTCATGTCTACAGTAGTATTGGGTAAACTTAACCTAAATGCTTTGTGTTCTGAATGATGTCAAGTTTCTGCAGGCCAGTTAATTTTGCTCTTAGCTTGACTTTTCCACTGTCTAACAATATACCTTTGTCTGCTCATCACAGTTAATTGACACACTTGCCTTAGAGATTGGAGAACTAAAGATGGGTCATTCCATTCCTGACTTGGATGAAGATGCTCAGTACGCCCAGTGGTTGAGGTAAGTTTTTGTTTTTATTCATGTAAATCTTTTCCTTCATGGCCACTCATTTCTTTCCACAGATATAAGTAACTCAACCTTTCAAGTTTGCGTGGGATTTGTGGGCTGCATATTCAGAGAGTTTTTTTTCCGCTGCGTCTCCAAATGCCTTTCTATGCTGACATTCCTCTTTTCAAGAGGCTTCTTACACAGTTCGAACTTTCAGTTTGTTTTTCTTGAAAAGGATCCTGTTCAAATCTTTTTCACTTTCTGGAAAAATAAAAACAAGTGGCAGTAATGAACTACGTGTAAAATTTTCTTTTCGATATCCAATATTGCTTGTGTCATTATCTCTGACTGGGATCCTTATCAGGTATTTCTCAATGGTAGAAGCTTTGAATTGCTTTATTGTACTGTTTTAATGGCCAATTGGCACAGATATCTTCATAATGTTGTTTGTTTTCTGTTTCTCAGCCATCCCACACAATTTAAGGCTGGTTTATTTAAAAAAAACATCAGAGATTCATACAATCGTATACTTAGATTGCACAGAAGAGACCATTACGCCCTTTGTTCCCGTGCTGGCTCTTTTGAGGGCTAAATCTTCCTGGTCCCACAGGGGTGAACTTAAAGGTAGAACCTGGAAAGATTCCATAGAAGTTGACATTGGGCCACTGAGCTGATGTAGTTCTGCCCCTGAGCAATCATCCCTAATCAGCACAGTCCTGGTAGGTAGCCCAACTTGAATAATTGACTGCCTGTTTGTGAGCTAATTGGAGATAGTGGACAAACCCTTAGACTTGCTTGGCCTCCTGGTCTATTTCCACTCACAGGGAGCTGGAACCATCAGTGGCCTGGACTGCTGCTAGCGACTGTGTTGGGAAGGGTTGTCCACCATTTATTTCATTCGTTTGTAATTTGTTTTTTGGGGGCTGCATTTCTGTGAAGGTGCCCTCCCGCTCTGTCTCTGACAGGGACAGTGCCTGGTGTTTGAGAGCTCTGATTAGGGTCTGCAGACCCAAAGGCAGCCTCTGAGTTGCTCATCATGGGGCAGAGCTCACAGACAGGAACCCCGACAGGTGGAGCAGGGTTGAGATCAGAAATGGTCCTGACACAGGCCTGTAACACAAGGACAGAAGATTCAGCCCAGAACAAGCTGTCCAATCAGTCTTGCTCCCAGATCATAACTTGCTATGTGTATGAAAACAAAACTTCTAAAGCAACAATAATGGAAATCATAACGCAACTTGATTTGAAAATGACAAATTAAGCAGTAACTTGATTCAAAATTCATCAGAGATTTTTGTTTTGAGTGAACAAGTTGGACCAAAGATCTATGGATTGAAAGTAGTGATTACAGAGGGAATTGCATTGTAAGAACCCCAGGAATGGATCAATTGATGAAACAAAATGATATCCTACTCAGTAGGAATATGATGATATAGTATGATATTCAACCAACATGTTTCCTTACATTATTTAAACAAAATCAGTGGATACACCCTTTAATCTCATTACTGCTAACTTTAATGATCTAATTGGGCTTTATGACAGTAGCATAACAATGGATATTACAATCAGTCAGGGAGCAGTGGTGTGCAAATGAAATTCTTATGACTTTGAAGCTAACATTAGGTGGTCCCATGAAATTTTGGCATTGTGGAAGTCATGTACGTCATGATATCCTGGAAAGTCTGTGTTATTATGGCAGGCCACCGTTGCTGTGCCATTACAGTGATGCAAGGTAGACCTGTTATTGTCTTCTATATTTTTACTGGGTTGTCCCAAGGGAAAAGCTAAATCTCTCAATAAGGCTGGTTTTTGCGTCGCCGTGAGAAGGTTGTGTATTTACCCCTGATCGGTGTGAGCACTCCCAATGTGGGCCAGCTCTGAAATACTGAAAAGTCAACTGTAAATATATGCTAAATAAAAACCGATGGACTGCGGATGCTATAATCAGAAACTGCTAGAAAAGCTCAGCTGGTCTGGCAGCATCTGCGGAGAGAAATCAGAGTTACTGTTTCGAGGCGAGTCACCTTTCCTCAGAAGCCAAGCTCAGGAAGGGTCATTTGACCGAAACATTAACTCTGATTTCTCTCCACAGATGCTGCCAGACCTGCTGGGCTTTTCCAGCAATTTCTGTGTTTGTGTAGGAAATAGATGCTGTTTTAGTTGGTCATCACTGAAATTGGGGATTATTTGATCATGGGATGTGGGTGTTGCTGGCTGGGCTGGCATTTATTGCCAATCCCTAATTGCCCCTTGATCTGAGTAGCTTGCTAGGGCCATTTCAGAGAACAGTTAAGAGTCAACTACATTGCTGTAGGTCTGGAATCACATGTAGACCAGAAGGGAAAGAATGCCACATTCCCTTCCCTAAAGGGCAATAGTGAACCAGATGGGTTTTTATAACACTCAACAATGATTACACGTTCTCCATTAAACCAGCTTTTTATTCCAAATTCTTGTTGAATTCAAATTTCACCATCTGCCATAGTGGGATTTGAACTCATGTCCCCGCAGGATTAGCCTGGGATTCTGTAACATTACCACTATGCCTCTGCCTCCTCCTAAAACATAAATGCAATTTGCTTTTTCTTTTAACCAGTTACTTTTTTTCTGCTCTGCTTTCAGAATAAATAAAATGCAAAATGTAATTGAAATGATGCAATACAGAGGATTGCTTTGTAAAAAATGTAGTTCCTTGGATTAGATATTAATCTTCACTTCTGCCTGATTGTTCTGGTGATGATGTGAAGGTGCCGATGTCAGACTGAGGTGGACATGGTCAAACCATCACACGACACCAGGTTATAGTCCAACAGGTTTATTTGAAAACACAAGCTTTTGGAGTCTCACTCCTGAACGAAACTCTGAAGGCTTGTGTCTTAAAATAAACCTGTTGGATTATAACCTGGTGTCGTGTGATTTTTGACCTTGTGATTGTTCTAGGGTTTTAGATGAATGAAGAAATAAATAGCTCTGATTGTCTGTTAGCTAACATTTGTTTCTTCATTTGACAAACCCCAGAAAAACAAGTTTTTCATCTCATTGCTGTTTCAGGTACATTGCTGCCGTAGTATTACTGTTGCACTTACAAGTCAGTGCACCTCAAAAGTAATTGAATAATGGCAGAAACTTACATTAAAAATTCAGTAATTGAATATTTAATATCTTGAAAAGAGGCATTAAATCATTTAAATGGTAAAAGCCCCCCTGCTATATTTCAATAGCTTTTACTTCCATGAAATTGCAACGTTTTTGCAGTTGGAACATGTGGACAGCTCACAGAGAGATCAATGGAAGGCCATTGCAATGTTTTGTTAAATTCAAGTGTTTTCCCTTCTCCCAAACAGAAATACAAAGCAACAAGGAAGAACATTTTCACACCATTTTGTATGAAAATATTCTCCCAATGAGTCACACCCAAAATCTCGTTCCTGTTTAAGGGAAATTCCTAGTTTCAATGAGTGTGAATGGTTCGTCTTATCATTATAATGAAATCAAAATGTGGAAATGATTTAGCCTTGTGGTGTGTCCTCTCACCTTAATGCATTGCCTGGACACATTTAACGAGTCTTGCTGGTTTGGACTTTTTACTAGACAGGTAATAACAGTATGACTAAACAGTCTCCCATTAATTGGCATGATCAGGAGTACAGGATATGTACTCATTGTTGTCTTACTGAGAAAAGAAAAATTCCACTCGCCAGAGAAACTACCTCTTGATGCCAACTTGTCCAGTGATACAAGTTCATAAATCATCTGGTATTTGTTACCACCAAGCTACCACCAATTTACAGGGACGTACCTGTAGCATTACATGGACCAGAACCTGGATATTGATGGATATAGGACAATTAAGAAGGAAAGGTAGCAAGGAAAATGTGGCTCTGTTGATTAAAAATAATATTATCGCAATAGAGAAGGATGGTTTAAGTTCAGGAAAGCAGGATGTAGAAACGGTTTGACTAGAGATTAGAAATGATAAAAGCAAGAAGTAACTTGCGGGAATGGTGTACAGGCTGCCTAACAATAACCACAAGATTTGGTGAAGTTTAAAGGAAGAAATAATGGGAGCAAGTCAGAAGGTTTTGGTGATTATCATGTGGGACTTTAGTCACATACAGACTGAATGAATGAATGTTTTCTTTTAAGCTACTTCCTTAGAACAGCATGTTCTAGCAACAACTAGAGAATAAGCTATAGATCTGGCCTTGACCAGCCAGATAGGATTATTGAATGACCATGCAGTGAAGATGTCCCTGGGAAGCAGTGATCATCATATGATTGAATTTCATACACAGTTTGAGAGTGAAAAGAGTGGGTTTGAAACTAATGTTTTGAACCTAGATAAGGGCAAATATTTTGGTATGAAAGCAGAACTAGCAAAAGTAAACTTATAATTTAGGTTAAGGAACAAGTCAGTAGGGACACAGTGGCAGAGATTTAAGGGGTATTTCAGACTGCATAGAATAAATGCATTCTAATGAGAGAGAATGTTTTCAAGAGAAGGACTATGGTTAACAAAAATAATATAAAGCTTAAAGAAAAAGAATGTAATTGTGCAAAGATGGGTGGCAGGTCATAAAATAGAACAGTGTATGAAAATCAGCAAAGAATGACTAAAAGATTAAGAAGGAGGGAAAAATTAGAGTACAAGAGAAAAGTATAAAGACAGACAAGAAAAGTTCCTATTAATACTTAGAATTAACAAAGTAAGCATTGGTCACGTAGAAAACGGGCTTGGCAAACTAATTATGGAGATAGCAGATGAATAAACTTGTGCTTTGCATCAGTCTTAACTACAGAGAATACAAATTACATCCCAGAAAGAGAAAGGAGAGAGGAGCTCAAGAAAATTACAATTATCAAAGAAATGGTACTTAGGAAATTATTGGAACTCCAGGTCCATCTCATTCCAGCCTTGTCCTGATGGTTACAGGTTTAATTTCTGCAGAGATGCTCCTTTTTTTAAAGGAGCAACAGAACAGCAGTTAGGAGTATAAGTTCTAATTGAAATTTTTTCTGCTTTCAGCTCAGGGATTAACTGATATGTTTTCTGTCTTTAGCTCAGGGACACAAGAACTTAATTATGGATCTTTGCTACCATCATGTATAGTTAATTCACAGCAATGGGATTTGTTGCTCCTTCATTGTATATGGCAGGCTGCATGCAATAATTAACTAAGAATAGTTCTCAACTCTCCTGCCCCAGTCAAGATATTCAGTATGTTTTCCATTTGTGCTGCATACAGACCTGCATCAGGACCTGTGCTCTGATAGATTAGAAAAACGAATTACATTTTTTTAAAACTGCGCAATAAACTGCGGTCAGCAGACTCGGTGCCCCTCACAACTGTGGTACCTGGTCATTTCTAACTTTCAGTCCTTGGGCTGATTGTGAACAGAATATCCACCAGGAATTCATTTAAATAAAACTGAAAATTCAACCTTGATCCAAACAGTATTATTACACAAATTGACTTGCTGGCCATGCTATGTGTCCAATATTTAATACACTAATCTCCTACCTCATTCTCCCGTAGTCTAAAAATATGCAGAACATTTACGGAAAGATTATTAATAATTAATAAGTTATAATAATTAATAAATAAATTATTCAACCCTAATTCCCACCATGTCCCTAGAGTTTAGTCTCAGTTTTACTGGATACAAAAATGCATTGCATTAAATCAAGTATAGGTTTCTGTACTCCTAAGTACAGCATATGAAAGTTATTTTGAATATCAGAATTAATGAAATTCACTGGAAAATTGGCTTTTATGCCACTCTGTACGGTCATGGAGAAACCACTCTGCTTCTGTTTCAGGTTGTCTCATCCTCCATGTACAATCAAGTTGAGTGTCTGGGTGGCCTGGTGATATAAGATACTTATAAAATGGTGGTGAAGATAAGGTGCTGTACTAGACTAAAGGTTCCTCATTGTTTGCGTCTTGTTGAGCAGAGCACAAGGGGACATGGATTATGACTATCAGAAAGAAGAAGCTGCTAGGTGCTGGATGAGGGATTCTGGCTATGAAAGCTTCTTATGTAACCTCAGCATCTTTGATCGGCTTCTGCACACCCATCCAGTCTGGCTGCATCTCACTCTGAGCGATGAGGATGCTCTGCGCATTTTGCAGCCTGAGGATGCTGGGGTAAGTTATTGACCTGATTTTTGTTTTTCAAAGAATAGGTTACATGTCTATTGCAATTGTGAAACAACTTGCAGTAAACTACATCTGCACGTTTATTTCAAAGATTCCCTCGGGAAAAGCTATCACAGCTCAAACATCCAACTTGCATTTGAAAATGTCACCAGTATGCTATTTTTCGAAAAGAAAGTTAAGTTTTAAAAATGAAGCTAAGAGTCTTGGGAGTTTTAATGATTGTAACGAGGTCAGCCTGGTGGACCTCATAGAACATGAGTTTCCTGATTGAGGCTGTTAATCTGGTCCAATCAGGGAGCCCTGAATGAGAAATAAGAACGAGAATATCAGACTTCCTGCTCACTCTGAGAGCTGGCTCTGAGGAAGCTCGATCAGTGTCAAGGACTTGCCACGAGTAAATAAAGGGTGTCTTGGTGACAGGATACCAGCCTCTATTGAGTTATTTCAGAAGTATGACTGGCCTTCATCTTTGAGCTTAGTTGGTAGCGTGCTCTTAAAATAAGATGCTGAAACTTAATTTGTCTGCCTAATCTCTGTCTCCAGCACATCTTGTAGCTGTAGTAGTGAATTGAAATTCAGCAGAGGCCAAGAAATGTCCAGATTCAATGAGACCACTGTCCTGTACGTCCACATAAACATTCTCTTTAGTATAATACAGGTTGGCATTGGCTGTGGCTAGCTTTTCCTCTGGCTTTATCTATCTGTTCAAAACCGTTGTCACCATCTCCCCAGAAGCCGATAACAATTTACCATTCTTTCCAATGGTGCCCAACCTGTAAACTCCATTGCCTTCCACAACCTCCACTTTGTAATCTCCCTTTCCCCTCATTTTACCATTCCCATGCAACTTTGTGCCTACCTCTCCCATCACTCTCTCTACATGAATCCCAGTTGGGTTCTACCTCTTCACCCTAGTCGCTACATCCCTAGTCTGAACTGTTCCAGACATCCCTTGCAATTATAATTACAATACCATTTCCCTGATAGTATTCTGTCTTTTTTGATTTTAGTCCTCAGTGCATCTACATCCTATTGCTGTTGGTGAACTGGCTCAGGCCTTAGACTCATGGCAGGGGCAGCAGAACGAAGATTGACTCTCTATCAGTTATATCTTTTTATTCTTAAACTATTCAAAATGGCACTGGATTGTGGTGACAGTTGAAGCTTTTCACTGTATTTTACTGGATTATTTACTGTAAAATACAGTGACAATAAATAATCATTCATTCCATTCTTGGAAGCTCCTATTAACTCTTCATCCATCAAATCATTCCATTCTGATCCTTGTCCTCATTTACAAATCCCTCATACTTCACATTTCTTTTTAAGCTTTGACTGTCTTTGCTCTCTAGTCCATCTGCAGTTGCTGTCTTGTATTGTCTTCCTGAAGCCCCTCACCACCTTTCTGCTTTTAAAAGAAGAGTACCTCTCTTAGCCATAGCCCTTAACCTCTTCCTACTGAGCTCACTATCTGCTTTTGCATTTGTATAGTGCCTCATGTTGTTTTTTAACTACGTTAAGTACGTTAGTTGACATTGCGGTTTTGAGATGAAGTGCGAGCATAGCAACCCTGATCAGGAGAGGAGTCAGTTCGCTTCTTAAAATTATTTTTTATAAATTGCTGGCTCACGTTTCAAATAAATACTTGAGGAGAGTCTCTTGGAAATTGCCTTTGGTATAGCCTTGTAAAATCTGGCAGTGGAATATCAAATCTCTTTGTTCAAATGTTGTAGAAATGCGTCATCACGTTCTTCTGGTTATTCTGAAGTTTCACATTTGCGATTAAAAGAGTGAGTTTTGTTTGCTTTTGGTATTTAACGGTGGTGTCACCAAGACTGCACGTATAAGTCCCTTGTTCTCAGAATTCTCTTATGAAGTTGCTTTCTTTAAAAACAAAAGGTTTTTACACACTTCCTTGTGTTAATTTAAAATACATTCACTTTAACTGATGTTGAAACTTGGTGTCAACAAAACAACAAGGAGATGGTGTTATAAATATAATGAAGAGAGTCAAAAAATAATTACCAGGAGCTGAAGTTAATGACCAGAGAGAGTGTAAAGGAAGAGAACAGAGGAATTAGTGATGATAATCTAGAAAGAAATTGGAGAAAATTAATGTAGGATAATCCTCCCTTTGAAAATAAGCAAATATCCTTTCAGTTGGAAGTTATCTAAGCTAATTGTCTTCTTCAACAAAAATGACTGGAGAGAGATGTATAAGGTCTAAATTATGAAGTAAACAGGTAAGGTGGGATGTGCAACCTGTTATTTTAATTATTCAGTGCAAACACTAGACAATGTGAATACGAAGTTCACAAAATTAAGGAAGGCTAGAACTTGGGGGAAAAAATACAATTCTAGAGATGCTGGAGACTGGAAATAAAAACAGAAAGTGCTTTAGAAACTCGGTCATCTGGCAGCATCTGTGAAATGAGATACAGAGTAAACATCTCATTCCAAAATGACGCTCCTTTTGGAATTGAAGGGGCCTAAGAAAAGATGTTTTTTATGCTGTTGACAAAGAGGGAGGAGGAGCAAGTGGAACAGCTGGTAAAGCATCCAGAGTAAAAGGGAAAGGAGTGCAAATAGTAGTTGAGGAGAATTCTAGATGTAGAACAGATGTTAATAGCAAAAAAAAGGTCAGCCAAGTTGAGAGTAAACCCCTGCAAACATGACACTGAGTTGTGGGAAAACCAAACTGGCGAGCTGTCTTCATGGTCTGCAGTTGTTTGAATGCAATGTTGATTCCTGAAGGCTGTAAAGTGCCTAAGCAGAAAATGTCAGGCTTTTCCTCCAGCTTTCATTGGGTTTCGCTGGAGCCATTCAGTAAGTCTAGGATGGAAATGTTAGCATGAGAGCACAATGTCATTTTGAAATGGAAAGCAACTGGAGGATCAAGGTCATTCTTACATGCAGAGAAGGGGTGTTCCACAAAGTAATTGCCCAGTCTGCATTCTGCCTTGCCAATGAAGAAGAGACCACGTTGTCAGCAGCAAATACAGTCGACTCAATTTGAAGAGAGTACAAGAAAATTGCTGCTTCACCTGGAAGGTATGTTTGTGGCCTTAGAGAATGAGGACTGAGGAGGTAAAAGGCTAGAGGAACTTTGAGTTCAGGAAGAATTTCAGAACTGGTAGAAGTTACAGAAATAAGGAAGGGTAAAACCATGAAGGAATTTAAACATGAAAATGACAATTTTTAATTGGGGTCATTGGCAGGGCGATGGAGGACCATGGGTCAATATAGTTTGTCAAGGACATGAGCTATGAATGAGAGGTACTTTGTTTTGGAAAAAGTACAGGCAGCAAACACTTTTTTTTAATTGTAAAAATCATACTTCTTAGTCTTAAGCTTTCTCAATTCTTTATCAAATGGATCCAGTCTCAACATTTAACATTATTAACGGTTAATCTGGAGCTTTCCACCAAACTGAATATGCCAACAGTCCCAAGTCCTCGATGGACTGCCAGTATCTGGTTAATCATGTCTCTCTGTCCATGTTTGTGGGTAAACATCAACTGGATTCAAACACCCCTATACAATGCACTGCAGCCTCAGTTCATCAGTCATTATTACTCAGTTAACTTGGGATGCATATAACATCGGATCTTTATTCTAGGAGTAAAGTAAAAGGAGAGAAGACTCTAAGAGGCAGAATTTAGATAACAATGTAAATATTGTCACATCTTTGATTTATGGAATCATGGAATTTTAAAGCATAAATGGACCCCATTCAATCCACTAAGTGTGCATTTGCTTCCTCAGGTTATCTATCAGCTCTGACCTTTCTCCACAATCCTTTGTCCATTCAGCCTTGCCCTGTACCATTTTTAATTAATCCTTCTTCAAACCTGATTTTTAAAAATAATTATTGTTTCTAGCTGGCCATTAAATGTCCCAACAACAGTCAAAATGAAACAATTTTCTCAAATCTGTTTACCTTTGTTCATTGGATGCTGACCTTACTTTTTCCCTTTCCAATTCTAACTCACTACAAGTTTTTTCCTTAATGTTTATCTTATAAATCCACTCATAGTTTTGAGAAAATGTCCTCTCTCTTCTAGTGAAGAGTCTCAGTTTCTCTGGTCCTTGCCCAAAAAAAATCAAAACTTAATTCAGCTTCTTTTTAGAAATGAGAAGACAAGTGGTTATATCTATATCTAAATCCTTAAGCCTGTCTGATCCCTTGAAACTTTAGCGATTTGGTAATTTTTTTTTCCCCTTCTTCTTTTTATACTTAGGAGCAGTAGGAGCTCTGACCAAGAGTCGTCTAGACTCGAAATGTTAGCTTGCTGTCTTTCCATGGATGCTGCCTGACTTGCTGCGATCTTCAGCATTTGTTGTTTTCAATTCTTCTTATACTTATCTGCATTAAATGTCATCCAATAACTAATTGCCCAATCTACTGTAGTCTGCTTCGATGAATGATCTCATTGCCTGTTATATTTTAACAGTTGTGATATTGTGCCCTCTATATCAGAGTGTAGGTCATTTTTATGCCTATACATTGAGAAGTGAGCTGATGCGAACAGTGAACCCCTGAGGTCAGCCTTGTTTATTTCTCTGCCAAGCATCCATTGCGTGCTCCTGTGTTTTTTATCCACACTGTCACATTCCTGTCAGAATCATGCGCCTTAGTATTATGAACCAGCACTTAGTGCTACAACCTGTCTGGTGCCTTTTGAACACCCAGACACATGATCTGCACTAAATTCTTTCATGAAGAAAATTTTTTATCCCCTCAATGGACTGTTAAATTTGTTAAGACTTTACAGATTTTTGCCTTTAATACAGTTTTGATGCTTGCCCAAAATTAAATGTTGTTTTTCTAGGTGGTTAAATTTTATCATGTTTTACAGCCTTCAGAACCCTAGCTATTACCAATGTAAGGCTGACTAAAGTTTAGCTGTTTTTGAACCTATGAAAACACTCTCTACGGACCAGAAATAGAGGATAACCCGAGGGGTTAATAATAGTGAAGAAATCAGGTAATTGATGTTTGCAGAGAAAAGATTTTGCAAATACTTAAGGAACTGAACCCTGACAAATTCACCAGACCTGACGGCCAAAATCCCACATTTCGAAAAGAGATAGCCGTAGAGATAGTGGATTTGCTGGTTATGATTTTCCATAAGTTCTAAAATGGTCTCAGCAGACTGGAAGTTAGCAAATGTAACATTGCCAATCCGAAAGGAATTGTGAGAAAACCAGGAATTTACTGCAACAGTTTTTTGGGAAAATGTTGGCATCTGTTATTAAAGGAGAGCAATACATTTAGAAAATCATAACCTGAACAAAGACCAAAGACGTTGGGACTGTATGAAGGAGAGATCATGTTTGGCAAATCCTTGCTGGACCTATTGAGGATGCACCTGTTGAGTAGATAAAAGGAGATGTGGTATACTCTTATTTCTGAAAGAAATTTGATTAGGTACAAAAGGTATGTACGAGGGGTACTTGTTCAGTTCAGGTTAGTATATTGACTTTCATCAATGATTGGATAATTGACAAGAAGCAAAGGGTGAGGATAAATGAGACATTTTTGAGTTGACAGGCTGTGACTAATACATTGCTGCAATAATCAGTGCTTGCATATTGGATACTTGGAATCTATACCAATGACTTGAACATAGCAACATACTATATTGCGTCTCAATTTACCTGACAATGCAAAGCTAGCTTTGGAATGCAACATGTGCGAGGGACACAAAGTAGTTGTAAAGAGATATGGACAAATTAATTGCATGGGCAACATGATGGTAAATGTATTATAATATGGGAGCTGTGAACTAATTCACTTTGGGAGTAAGAAATAATAAAGGCCCTGATTTTTGTTCCCAGTTTGGGTGTGTGCAGCTCCGTGACCTTGAACTTTAAAAGTGACCAGCTGCACTGTTCATTTTCACTCAGCTGTATGGGCTGGCTTGGTTGGGAGGGAGACCCAGGAACATGAATTGGAGGAGGCTACCGATTACCGAAGTATGCTGTGGGCAAGTCTGCCACTAGCCCCAGTGCTATGTCCAAAATCTAAAATAAAATACATTATTAAAAAATCCTTTAGCTCTCACCCTCACACACCATCTCTTAGCCCATCTTATTACTAATCCATAGTTTTACCCTTCCTGTCCCTCCTTTACCTACTGTGCCAACTCACCTAATACCTAAGCACAAAGGAAATAAGGGTCTATATTACAAGCAACACTCTATTGAGAAAAACACTCTCATTCATTAAAATAAAACATGGTTTGACATTCCTTGACAAGTTTGACACTCCCTGACAGGTCTTTGTGAGTTTGACTCTTCTTTGACATCTTTACAATTCCAGAGGTTTTGGGCACAGCTTCTCCACAAGTCACAAATGCAAAGGATACCTGACAACTCCCTTGCTCTTTTCATCCATGGAATCTCTCCTCATCCATGCAATCTCTCCTCATCCATGGCATCTCTCCTCATTTATGCAATCTCTCCTCATCCATGCAATCTCTCCTCCACTTCTCACCCATAGTAATATGGTTTATATGTAGTAATATAGTAATACGGTCTCACCCGCCCGCTAAGGGTACCTGACCATCTGCTCCAGGTGGTACCTTACCCATCACCACACCAGTGACACCTGACCTCCCATGTAGTCCCCCAAGGTCACACCCACATGGGTATCTTACCTCTTCGAAAGGGTTACCTTGGCTATCCAAATGGATCCACAATGTTCAGACCTGCTCTTAGCACATCTAATGTACACACTGGAGATTCTGCTCTACCAGAACGCCAATCACACTTCATTGGAGGAAGCTGATTATTTGAATGGACTGCTGCCTCTTTAAAAGACACATACATAAAACCCAATCTGACTTCACTCCCACCCCCAGGAAATTGTTGTGTTTTGGGTCAGGACTTACAACTTTGAGTCACTTCTGCCATTTTTGAGAAGCAGATTATTTTTATAAGGCGTGAATGTGTAATTGTTGATGTGCAGAGGTACTTCTCTGTACTTATCAAGCAACAAAAACAGAAGTTGCTGGAAAAGCTCAGCAGGTCTGGCAGCGTCTGTGAGGAGAAATCAGAGTTAACGTTTTGGATCGGGTGAAAATAGCACGCAGGTACAACAAACAATAATAAAAGTAAATGGGATATTAACCTTTATTGCAAAGGAATGGAGAACAAGAATAAATAAATCATGCTACAATTGTACAGGGTGTTGGTAAGACCATACCTGGAATATGCAGTTTGTTGTCCATATTTAAGGACATACTTACATTGGAGGAGGTAGTGTAATGGCTTGTCATGATGATTCCTGGGATGACATATTGATGAGAGACAATGTTAATTGGGCCAACACTCTCTGGAATTTTGAAGCATGAAGGGTGATCTCATTGAAACATAAATAATTTTGAAAGGTTGACATTGAGATGCTGTTTTCACTAGTTGGGGGATCGAGAAGTAAATTGAGGAGCACGCTTGATGGGCTGAATGGCCTATTCCTGCTCCTAATTGTCATGTTCTATTATGTTCAACCTCACGGTATCTTTTTATTATGACAGATCTTTCTGGTCCGGAGATCGTGCAGGACACAGAAAAAGATTATATCCATGCGTTTGCCTGAGTCGGGATCTCATTTTGTTCAAGATTTTCCAATAAAGGAAAGCCAGTATAGTAAGTAGACTCCAATATATTCTAATACTTTTGAAAGTATAGACAAAATATAAGATATTATCATCAAAACAGGCAAGCAAAGTACCATGAAAATGTCATTATTTTGTATTGTGGCTTATTGGAAAAGTAATCATTTTTCACAGTTTAAAATATTTGATTTTCTACTGAGAATGAGCAACACAGAAACAGGACAATTAGTCCAACCAATTCACAGGGGCTTATCTTGCTCCATTTGAATCTCCTTTGGTCTTCCCTCATCTAATTCTATCAGCATAACCAGCATCCCTCATGTGCTGATCTACATTCCACTTAAATGTATCTTTATTATTTTTTCCTTAGTCAGGCCCTGATTATAGTGAATTCCACATTATCACCATGGTCTTATTATCAATAATTACTGCATATTACCAGTAAGTTGCAACAATCATGAACCATTGGCATATGACTCTACTAATTCAAACCTTAATCCCTTTATAAACATCCCTTTACACAAAACACAGGCATGGGGGTTAAAAAAAAGGGTATTAAGGGTGGAAGGAAAGTAGGGACAGTGTTTACTGGTGTTTTATATGGTGCTTTAACCACAATGTGAAGTGGTGTGAAATACTGATAGATATGCCACTATCACGCTGTAGTACTCAAAGTAGCTCCTGTAACATAAGGACTGAAGAGTCCAAATTCCCTTTTGGATTTCCTGGTAACTAACCTAATTATGGCTTTTGATATAGCTCATTTTTACAAGTGGATGTAATCTCTGTGTCTGTTTTGTACCAAATCCTTTCATAATTTTAAAGAATTTCCATTAGATCATTGCTCAGCCTTCTCCCTTTAAGCGAAAAAAAATCCTGCCCATCCTTTCTTGATTGGTGTAAACTCGTCATTTTATTATCATCTTCCTACATGGAGCCTCATTTCTCCCATTAATGTGATACTTGAAGTGGCTCCACATTGCCCTAGGCAACCAGGTGCTTCACAGTCGACCTGTCTAATATTGCTGCACAGATTTAAGAGCAACAGGTGAAGGAAGGTCAGGATATCTGGAAAATGATAATTTCCATTTTAGTTTCCTGAATGCAGAGTGGCTGAATTGGTGGCATGCTCAATCAGGCTGAGCTCCTACATGGCCCCTGTATATAGACTGTGCCTTTTCATTCTTCCATATTTTTATTTGGGGACTGAAAAGAGAAAAGTACTGTTTTAGAGACCAAGGGGTGGCTGGAGGATTGCTGCATATTTTGAAGGGAAGTAACCTGACTCTCGCTGTAAACATGGTTTACACAGCTTCTTGTTCAAGTGGTGGTTAAAGTTTGCTTGCAGACAAACTGGAACTGAGGTGTTGAGTATGGATGGAGCTTTGGTTGGTACAAGTAGCAGATTGGTCCGTGGACTAGTGACCAATTATCGATGGCAAAGGCCTTCTGTTTGCCAACAACAATCTGATTGTTTCTCAGATAGCTTAACAGCTTGGGGCTATGTACCAGATTTGACTACCACCAGCTCAGGAATTCTCTCTCTCTCTCTCTCTGTTCTCTGCTATAAAAGCCTGTCCAAGCCGGAAGAAAACCTGTTTATCTTTTTTCCAGTAAATGCTGTAAGCTGTGACCTTTAATCTATGAGTCAGAGGCCTTTTATAATTGAACCAGCCTCTCTGTGCCTCTTGTAAATCAGCAAAAGCATCTGGAAAAGGAAGAACAAGATCCTGTGAACAGAGACACTTGAACTGCTGTCCCTGCTTTCCTTCCATCCTTAACACCTTTTTTATTCCATGATAACAAGGTGTAGAGCTGGATGAACACAGCAGGCCGAGCAGGAAAGCTGATGTTTTGGGCCTCGACCCTTCTTCAGAAAATTTTATTCCATGCCTGGGTTTTATGTACGGGGAAGTGTATAAGAGGATTAGGGTTTTAATTAGTAGAGTTATATGCTGATGGTTCACGATTATTACCTGTTGCTGTTTACTTGTAATAGATAGTAATTCTTGTTAATGGTGATTCCTGATCCATTCAGAAACTTGGTCTATGCTTTCTGGGTCTGAAATATAGGTAAATTGAGGAATTTTTGTGTACTTTTTAAAATCCTTACCTTTTGCGCTGACGCTGGGAATAGCGGTGCCTGATTTCCAGCACACTATCCCAGTGAGGTGTAACACTAACCACAAAGGTACTTGGCAATGCATTGGATTTTTCTTCAATGGTATCTCCTCCTGTCATTCAAAGGGATAATGCCATTTAACAAATGGACAGGGTCGTACAGTTTATGGTCTTCCAAGTGACATACCCTGCTGATGAAGAATTTTACCACAGTTTGCTCTTGATTGCTAGGTCAAAATCCTGGAACGCCCTTTCCAATACCGCTGTGAGGGTGTTTTCACCACAGGGATTGCCGCAATTCATGAAGAAAGCTCACCACAATCACCACACCGGGGAACCAGCAATAATCAATAAATAAAAACTGAAAGAACCGCGGACGCTGTAAATCAGGAGCTAAAGCAGAAGTTGCTGGAAAAGCTCAGCAGGTCCGTCAGCATTGGTGAAGAAAAAAAATCAGAGTTAATCCAGAGTTCCTCAGGAAGGGTCACCGGGCCCGAAATGTTAACTCTGATATTTTTTTTCTTCACAGATGCTGCCGGACCTGCTGAGCTTTTCTAATAATCAATGATGTCTTTAGCAGTAAAGGCCACACATCACCTCAAGAATGAATTTTATTGAGCAATTTGTGCTTATTGTCAACAATGTTCTGTCCTGGAAACTTGGTCACATGACATCCAATCTTCCCTCTCTGCTCATGTTTAATTATATGACTGCATTTTATTTGTCCACTGTTTGCCTAATGTTATTACATTTACCTTATGTGAGTGTTTCCATATCACACATCCTGAACAAACCATTTGGCTGTTTGATAATATGATGAACAGAATCAATTAGCAGAAGAACAGAAAGCTGTGCGGTTAAGCAAGGTAAATAAAAAGCACATCTGTGATGCATCTCCCATTATCATCTGTAATGGGAAGTTCCAGCACTTCAACAAACCCATCACTGATTTCAGTAACTTAGTTATTGTTTTGCATCATTTTATGACTACAATTCAGAGCACAAAGTCATAAAAATGGTGAATAAAACCTAATTCTTACCTAATGTAATCCATTGATTCCCACACCCCACGACTGACACTCAGCTTCTATAGTGTTTTACACATCTGAACAATGATTAAATTGTGTGCCTATGTACAATAATGTATACCTGTTTGGCATTTCATTTCTTCAGAAAAAGGGGGATGTTGTGTTCAGGTTCATAGAGATGCGTGCCATACTTTTAACGGACATGCTCATCCTATCATCATTTCATGGAACGTGACCTAATGGTATAAAGCTTACATTCTCCATCTTACTGGGTTCTGACCTCTTGCAGCATGACATACTAAAGAAACTGTGCTCCAGTACATCTGAGTTGCTTGGCTTGAGCCTGGACACACAGATTAACCTTGTTATCTGTTTTTATATATCTGAATAATAGTTAAATTGACACTTTATGCCAATGCACAGTGATGTACAGCTCTTTGGGATTTCATTTAGTGTCATTTAGTCATACAGCACGGAAACAGACCTTCAGTCCAACTCGTCCATGCTGACCAAGTTTCCCAGTCTAAACTAGTCCCATTTGCCTGCGTTTGGTCCATATCCATCTAAAACCTTTCCTATTCATGTACCTGTCCAAATGTCTTTTAAATGTTGTAACTGTACCTACATCTGGCAGTTCATTCCATGTACAAACCACCCTCTGTGTGAAAAAGTTACCCCTCAGGTCCCCTTTAAATCTTTCTCCTCTCACCTTAAAAATATGGCCCTAGTTTTGAACTCCCCCACCCTAGGAAAAAGACCTTTTCTATTCACCTTGTCTATGCCCCTCATGATTTTATATACCTCTGTAAACCTCCTATGCTCCAGTGAAAAAAAGTCCCAGCCTATCCAGCCTCTCCTTATAACTCAAACTCTCCAGTCCCGGCAAATCTGGTGAATCTTTTCTGAACCCTCTCCAATTTAATTATACCATTCCAAAGCAAGGTGTCCTGTACACAGTACACCAAAAGTGGCCTCACCACTGTCCTGTACAACTTCAACTTGACATCCCAACTCCTGTACTCAATGGTCTGAGAAATGATGCCAAGCGTGCTAATCACCTTCTTAACCACCCTATCTACCTGTGACATAAATTTCAAAGAACTATGTACCTGAACCCCTACGTCTCTCTGTTCGGCAACACTACCCAGGGCCTTACCAGTAACTGTAAGTCCTGCCCTTGTTGGTTTTACCAAAATGCAATGCCTCGCATTTATCCAAATTAAACTCCATCTGCCACTCATCAGCCCATTGGCCCAATTGGTCAAGATCCCTTTGTGATCTTAGATAACCTTCTTCACTGTCCACTATACCACCAATTTTGGTGTCATCTGCAAACTTACTAACCATGCCTCCTGAATTTTTGTCCAAATCATTTATACAAATGACAAACAACAACGGACCCAGCACCGATCCCTGTGGAACACCACTGGTCACAGGCCTCCAGTCCAAAAAACAACTATCCTTCACCATCCTCTGTCTCCTACCATCAAACAAATTTTGTATCCAATTGGCAAGCTCTCCCTGAATCCCATATGATCTAACTTTACTGATTAGTCTACCATGTGGAACTTTGTCAAAGGCTTTACTAATGTCCTTGTCCACAACATCTACCGCTCTGCCCTCATCAATCTTTTTGGTACGTCCTCAAAAAACTCAATCCAGTTTGTGAGACATGATTTCCCATGCACAAAGTCATGCTGAGTCTCCCTAATCAGTCCTTGCCTCTCCAAATGCATGTAAATCCTATATCTCGGAATCCCCTGCAACAACTTACCCACCGCTGATGTCAGACTCACCAGTCTATAGTCTATACTTCTTTGGGGAAAGGAGAGTGTTGTGTTATGTCTCACAACAGATGTGTGATATACCTTTTCAGAGACATGCTTATGATGTCATCATGGTTACATGACAGGTGACTCAAGGCTTTATAAAACTCTCAGTCTCCATCTTGTTGGGCTCTGTTCTCTTGCAGCGTTATGTACTGAAGGATTTGTGCTCATTATATCTCGCTTAGCTTAGGCCTATGCAAGTTCAAAATTATAATGTAGCTATGGAGATATTAGGTGATGTATCCAAAGCTTGTTGAACTGTTCAGTCCTACTTGACCTACATCTTCTCCTTGGTATGGGAGTGATAGTGGCATATAGTCAGTAGATCACACCATCTCATGTCAGCTTTAGGTGAGACCTGTTCTGAAAGAAAAACACCCAGATCTTTCTCAGGCTGACATGAATTCCCCTCCCTGCAATTTATGTTTCTCTCCATGTTTGCAGTTTGCTTGCTCACCCCTTCTTTCTTCCAGTCTGTTTGTTTTTTTTTATTCTCTCTGTCATTTCCCCAGTTTTGTAATTTTCTATTTACCTCTGACTCTCCCTCTCCTGTTTGTAATTCTTTCCCTCCTTCAATTTGGATCATCTTCTCTCCATCCCTCCCCCCATCAATTTGTATTTTTCTGTTTTTCTTTCTGAGTTGCTCTCCCAGAGATCCAAGAGTTTCCAGGCCATTTTTGTTGGCCCCGAAACTACAGTCTTAACAAATGACAATGAAGCGGTATGCCCTGATAAACAGGACAGCCAGCAGGGTTTGGTTGCCACCACATCAGCAGAAATGTTGCACTTGCAGAAACAATGCATACAAGAATTGCTGGTTTGAATTGTTCGAACTAGTGCTCAGGAAAATGATTTCTCACTCCCCTAGAGTCTCCTCCAAAGTGAGAAGGTTAGAAACTTTAAATTTCACTGCATATATGGCTGTTCCCAGTTTTTTTCTTGCTGATGTTAGAACACAGCTTTGTGTAACTTCCAATAATGACACTCACCAAAAAAAGCAGTCAATACTGGCAACATGTGTGTGGTAAGCTAAAAGACTGTTAGCAGACTATCCTTATATTTACTAAGTGGGTGGCTCAACCGCTTGTGGTAGTCATGATAAAGGAAATTGTGTTGAATTTTCAAGATGACTGAGCAATTAAACCCAAGGACTATCATGAAAATGGCTTGCGTTCATTTATAGCCTCTAAATGCTGCCTATAAATAACAACTTTTCTCGGTTTAGTGCTATTCAGAAGGTAGGCATGTCTAAAGAACCCTTGAAGATGTTACTGCAAGTGTAGGACAAGTCCATTTTGGCATGCATTTGGGGATCAGCACAGCTGTTTCAGTTTAGAGACAGCAGTTGTGTCTGCTGTAGGCTGTCTCAAGCAGACATATTGCATTTTTTTTTATTAATAGGGGAGCCTGTCATGATACTTTGGTTAATTTACTGCACAGCTTTAACAGAATCCCATATGCTGCCTAATGGCATTTCTCATAATGCTGTTTCTGCTTTGTAATAAGTTATCCACTTAATAATTTTCTGTTTCTTGCACAGCTTTTTCACTCGAAGGATCCTGCTTGAGCTTTGCAGATTTGTTCAGGCTCATCGCTTTCTACTGTATCAGCAGGTAGGAGTAGTTAACATATGTAAATGCTATTCTGCGTGCATGCACTATTGTTAGAAGTTCAAAGAAGTTTCATTAGTGTGTTTGCTTCCACATCCACTTGTGGACTTACACCCATGCACCTTTCTGCTGTTATCCTAGACCATTTCCTGTTGAGTCAATACAGGAAACACTTAATTAACTGGTTGAGTGATTCTGCATAACTTCTGGAGAATATTTTTAATCACGTTCCACAGCGTGAGTTCGAGTTTGTGGACAGAGGAGCGGGCAGTGTTGCGAATACTGATTCTTATAAAGCACACTGTTTGTTTTTCACTGAACACCTGGTGTATAATTGGGTCCTGCAGTAGTGCTAATGATTCTGGTCATGACTCAACTCGAAACAGCTTCCTTGCTGCTGCCTCACAAAAAACTGCTTGTTGTTCAGCAAGGCTGCTGTTGCTCCAAAATATGAAAATAAAAGCCCAAATCCACAGCAGGTTTTGGCAGCACTGAAGTGTTAGGCCTGTACTTCAGGTGACAGTCATTCAGTAAGGGTTAGACTTTCATTGTTGCAAATCCTGTTTTGCTTCAGTAAACCAGTTCGCATTGATCTGGGACACAGTACTTATTCTAGGATACGCAGAAAGGGCAGACTTTTGGTATAACTTCTTTGAGGAAGGACATGGGCATAGATAAATCTTGTGCTCAAGTAGAAATTGCAATTTATTTTCTCTTCAGATCTAAGTACTGAGCTACTAGGTTTAGCAATTTTTGTTTAAAATGGCCAATAAACCCTGTGATAGGGTGTACTTAAAATGCTCGCCTTAAGAACTTGACAGCTCACACCTCCCTTTCACTGCCAAGTTTCCTAATCCCTGGGAAATGCAATCAGTAATTGCACAATGTCTTTCCAATTGCAAATGTGGGCTCGACTTGGAGCTATTAATGAAGGGACTCTCCCCTTCGTGCCAGGGCACCCTTCTCGACCCCTGGAAACACACCACTGTAAAAACTGCAGCAGGGTTGAGACGTGTTCCCCTTTTAAAATTTTAACCCCCTCCCATCTGTCATCTAGGTATTAATACTGAGCCCCTTGTGTTGCAATTGAAGCCTCAGGAAAAGAAAGCATCTAAACCATTCACTTCCTAAACATGCTACTGTTCAGCCAGATGAAGGACTGTCTTTCAGCTCAGATTTGGCTGGTCATCCACATATCTGCCTACAAAAAATAAAGCCACATCGCACGCAAGAAATGGAACTGTTTTAACTTACGTTTTGGGCAAATGGTGACTTTATTTACTCCGTTCTCACAAGAAAATAAACCAGAAAAGGGTTGTAAAAATATTGACATAGATATTTGTCTGTTTACATATTGTTCATCAGATGTAGGGTGCTATTGCACAGGTCACATAGTGTCAGGGTGAAGTGAATAAATATGAATTTTACTAGATCTATGAGAGCCTGATCTTCCTGAGAGTTGGGTCTGCCAATCAAGAGCACTACTGATGGCACTCAGTTGCTCATTCTGTATGACATCAACACACGTATCTCTGTCCCAGAGAGTTCTGGAGGCTAGATCATTGAAAGTATTTAAAGACGAGGTAGGTAGGTAGACTCTTGAAATATCAGGGATTTGACAGCTATGCTGAGTTGGCAAACAAGGACTGATGACTCATGGTCTTGTTGAACAAGCAGGGCAAGCTTGAGAAGCTGAATGGCCTACTCATGTTTCTATTTCTTACTGCGACAGTTTACAACACATGTTGTGACTTGTTAATTTCATGTTGCTTTTGAATAGCATGCAGGCACACACTGGCCAGTTTGCCACAGGTATTTGGGGCCTACCCGTCCTGGTGTGGTTGGGTAAATTCGAGATGGCAACATCATTAATTCACTGATGTGACATAAATGGCTCATTGTAATAATTCTTTCAAACCCATTCACATGCCAATTTAATTCAAGTCAGCAAATTAATAGTCTATACTGTAAAGTTAAGAGAGAAGTACCAGTGAAGTGAACATCTGCCTTGTAAATATTTACTGGAGTATCAAGGAATGCCTAAGTATTACTATGAGAGAATTTCTGTCGTTATGTAATGATTAGGTATGTCAACAAATCTTCCTTGGGGGCTTTCCACGTTTTCTGCACCCAAAATATTCCTTTCTCCTTGACTGGCTGACTCATATGGATTCAATATTGTGACATTAAATTCTATCTTCCTTTTTTCTCTCTCAAAAGGGATGTGCTGCCTTTCCCTTTAAAGTTGCCTCATGGAATCACAACTGCCAAGACTGAGACAGAGCTGGAAGCAATTGCATTCCTGGGTCTGGGTGAGTACATTTCAGGTCTACTGGAATTCTGCTTGAAGCACGGGGTTGTGAGATTGGACAGAGTTTTGATCTAAAGTACTCGCCTAGTAGTGATCAAACTGTCTTTCGTCACTTTCTTTTGGACTTTACCACTTTTGAACTCCGAATCAAATGAACTTGGCTTGCTGACGGTGAATTGTATAAGGTAAGACTCGCCTACTTGGATCCAGTTTGAGAGTTTGTCTCTGGAATTTAGTCCATCTTCATGAAGCAGTCTTTTGAACATGTTTGAAGTGAAATCCAGTAATAGTGATATGCCTGCCCTTTACAGGGTTAATTTCTGATCTGTAATGATGTGCACCGAATGGAAAATAAAGTCCATCTGTTTTCAACTTTATGACGTTCTTTTGTTGCAGAGTTCTGGAGTTCTCCCGTGTACAAGAGAGTAGCCAAGAGTTCTGCACCTCCTACTAGTCCTCTCAATGCATGCAGCGTGAGCACGGGAACGAAGCGGACCCCGCTCTTAAATGGAGTACATTCCATACAAACACGGACGCCTTCGGAGCTGGAGTGCAGCCAGACCAATGGTGCTTTGTGCTTCATAAACCCTCTCTTCTTGGAGGTGCACAGCAAAGACGCTAACGGCAGCCTCAAAAGGCAGGCTGCAAAATCCACGGAGACGGGCCGGCCCTATTCTGTCCCGGCTCGACCCCCGCCGCCCCGGCTGCCCGTGAATATGGAGCAGAGCCCTGCAGCCGATGATGATGACGATGGAAACGCGGGCCGCTGCAAACAGCCCGAGGCCAAAGCGGTTCCCATCCCACCGCCCCGCATCAAGAAACAAGCCAGCGGCGGCGAGGTGGAGAGGGGCTCGGTACCTCTCCTGGGAGCCGCCCAGAAACAGGCAGCAGTGGGAGGGGAGGAGGCAGGCGCTGGCAGCAAGGGCGAAGCTGCGAGTCTCACCAGCCCAGCCCTCCAAAGCAAAGGCAAGCAGCGCCTCAGCGATCTGAGCATGTCTACCACCTCCACCGAGTCCGATTCCAGCACCATGGAGGTGAAACGTGACTGCCCTTCCAGCCTGGAAGGGGACACCAACAGCAGCCTGGAGGATTCCGACGCGGACAGCGACCAGGAGGTCCTGCCCCCTCCCTGCGTCCCCAAGAAGAAGAGGCACGCTTCCTTCGTCTTCCCCAAGATCGTCAAGTCCCACATCCAGAAAGTCAGCGGCGTCTTCACCTCGTTCATGACCCCGGAGAAGAGGATGGTGAAGAAAATCGCCGAGATGTCCCAGGACAAGCGCACCTACTTCGGCTGCCTGATTCAGGACTACATCAGCTTCTTCAAGGAGAACAAAGACTGCCACGTCTCCAGCACTGACATGCTGCTCACTGTCCGCCAGTTCATGACCCAGGTCAAAAGTTACTTGCTCCAGAGCTCGGAGTTGGACCCACCAATAGAAACCCTCATCCCAGAAGATGAAATAGGTAAGCTGCCGTCCTTTGATGTCTTTTTTTTAAAAAAGAAAATTGCATTCTTCCCGTGACTGCATTGCTTCGACTTCTGGAGCAGGCTCCTGAGTTTCTTTTCATGACATGGGATTGACTGTGCACAGTTAATGAAGGGGGAACACCATTCCCCTTTTTTACCTCTAATGAATGTCTCAGAGCCTGGCTTTTGAGGGGCAGGAGGGATGTCGGCAGTGATATTGGCGTCAGTATTGACATTGGTGTGTGGGGTATTTGAAATGCTGCAGGTGGCTTGAAGGGGAAAAATATGACTTAGCATAACTTTAGTGGAAAGTCCATTCCCTCTCTTTCAGAAAGCCCAAATCAGTGACAATAAAATCACAACTCAGTGTTGTAAAAGCTTTTCACAAAAACCACTTTACATGTGACACTAGGAGATGAGAGACACTTTTCACTCAGAGGATGGTGAATCTTTGGACTCAAACCCAGAGGGCTGTGGGAGGATCAGTCTTTGAGTATGTTTAAAGTAGAGGCTAATAGATTTCTGATTACTGATGGTGCAGAGGGTTATGGTGAGTAAATGGCATTGAAGTGTTTAATCAGCTGTGTTTGCAATAAATAGTGGAGCTAACTTGATGGGCTGAATGGCCTGCTTCAGTTCCTATGTTCCTACTGCCACAGATATGGCATGCGATATTCGCTGGTCTTTCTCTCTTTATGAATAAAATCTCTCAAACATTTATTCCTGAAGGCAAGACTTATTCGGCAGATACGAAGAACTGGCTAGTCTACTCTTGTTCCTACAATATTTATGTTCTAAGTTCTTACATTCAATTAAAGAGTTTTTATAGTATTACTCTATTCTCATTTCATGCTCATTTTTTTTCTCATTTCAAAGCTGCATGTAAATAGCCTCTAATACTATAAAGGAACTTTCATTATAAGTATCATATCTGATTATATGAAAACATTCATCATGGAACCATACAAAAATGTTTGAATGCAAGAAAAAGGCTTGTCATGAGGATTTTGTTCAACTGCGGTTATGTAGTTTTGTTTAGTGCTTACGATGTGAATGAAAGGGCGCTTTTGTATTTAAACCAAAGATCAGTAACCATTGTGGGGGAACATAGTCAATATTCATCTAATTTGTCATCAGTCAGGATTAGTTCAAGTGAAATAAGTGCTTTTTTTTAATAGAATTTCATATTTGAAAGATAAAAATCAGCCATGAATAGAAGGTTAGTCAACTCTTCAAGAACTAACATCTTGCGCAGTGAGTTATCTGAACAGGAAGTTGTTCAGTCGAAAGTGTAAATAATACTTTGTTTCGATAATTGCCAAACTGAGCCAAGTCCTTCCAGTGCAGACGCATGGAAAATGTTAATGGAGCAGTGTGATGGATGGCCAACACAGAATGGTCTGCAGTTGCTGGATATAAATTCAGATCTCGGCTAGTGGGTTGCTTCAAATGTATTGCAGGAAAGCGTCAAAGGCAAGTCATATATCTTCCTGCATGGAGGGAGAAAAGATTGGAAAAAATAATTGTTTGCAAGAATTGTGCATTTATGTTGCTCCTTGTAACAAATCATTGCAGCCTACATGAATGCCTCAGTCAAAGGTAGAAATAAAAGGTTAAAGGCCTGGAGGAAGGAAAGTTGTCAAAAATCTATGGCTTGGCTCACATTACTTATCTAGCAGTAATCTGCGCTGTTTATATTTGGAGAAAGGCAGATGTTAACTGTAGTTTGTTCAGTTGCTAAAATCTTCAATTTTAAAGATTTGCTTTATACGCCCACCTCTTGGCTCTTGTCAGCACTCTGTTTAATAACTTGAATAAGCCACAAGAGTTTGGAAGCAACCAAATGGCTGACTAAGCAAGCTTGTCATATGGTGGACAGATTTAACCATCTTTTAAAAAGGAAATGGAGCAGTCTGATCAGAACAGTAATTTATTTCTCATTTGGGTTTCAAGTTGCAGGATGGCTTTGTTTAAGATGCTAAGGTAACTTTGAAAGATCCCAGAGTTTCATGGGAGAGGAAAAGAATCAGGAATCTAAAAAGAAAACAAGCTGGCCCACAAATAAACCAGTTTAATGTTTCAAGGAGAAACTTTTCACCACAACTGAGCTACAACTGGCTGAGCCAGTTCTGATGAAAAGTCCATGCCTAAAATATTTGCTGTTAATTTTTATACCTTTTTAAAATTTATTTTTAATTAACCTACTTAGCATATTTGGACTGATTCTACATTTCCAGCACCTTCTGTTGTCATTGCAGAATCAGGAGAGAATATGGCTAAAGTTAAACTAAAAGTTTCAGCAAAAGTGGAAATGAATTTCAAACTCCAGACTTCACTTTCTAAAAATAACCAGGGCAAGATGATCTTCAGCCAAGTGATGATGTCATTTGGTTTTGGCTCCTCTGGTGTTTTGCAGAAACTTAAAAAAACTGAATTACCCAACGACCTTTGAGAACTGCCAGAACTAGCAAGTAAATAAAGCTAGTTAACCTTTAAACTGCTGCATGGCTTTATTGTTTTGCTAAGCCTAGGGAGCTGAAGACACCTAAGCCTTGGGCTAATCCTGACTGCAGCTAGTCAGGGTAGATTTGTTTGCTGTCCACTGAAGATTGATAAAGGAGCTTTAATATAAAATTTCACTTGCCTTATTTGTGGCTGTTTCAGTTACTTGGGAAGGAAGAAAGATGAATCCTGCTCACTGCCAACATTAGACTCAGATGAATTTAAGAACATTTCCTCACCTTCCTGTCACGCACCGTTCTAACTGAGCTTATTCTAACTGCATGGAGCTATGGTCCTGGACAATTATCCAGGCCACATGTTCCCAAAGCTTCAGTTACTTCTGTAGGGAATTTTAATTTATCAAGTTCGGTCTCTGGAAAAAGCAGTTCGCTTGAAATATCTTTTTGTGAAAGATCTATTTGTGAAATACCTTTTTATGGCAGCTGACAATAATGATTCTCTGATGCTGATCTGCAATACAGCTTTTGAATTTTATTTAATTTTTAATTTTACCTTGCGATTACAATAATAAAAATGCGGCACTAAACTGGCTTTTACTGTACCCACTTCTGTGGTGTGTATGTGTGCACCTGTGTGCATTACCTTCTCAACCATAGAAATTAATTGTCTTTGAGGCAACTTCATAATTAAAGAAAATCAGTGGCAAATCTTTTCTTCCATGTGTATAAACATTCCCTGCAGTGATATGATTTACATTGTAAAAATCGCAACTTATCCAAAACTCTGTTGCCTGTATCCTAATCCTCCCCAAGTGTCATTCTCCCATAAGTCCTGTGCTTGGCCTACTATGGTTCCCAAATGCTCAAATTTTAAAATTCTCATTCCTGTATTTAAATCCTACCATGGCCTCATCCTGTTTTTCGCCATAACGTCTTCTTGCTTTACAGTTGTAGTGATTGTAACGAGGTCAGATGGGGTGGACCTTGTAGAAAGAGTTCCCTGATTAGACCAGCTAACACCCCCAATCAGGGAGCCCTGGCTGACAGATATAAACAGGAATGTCAGGGGTTCTGTTCATGATAGGAGCTGGCTCTGAGTGAGCTGAGTCAATGTCTTGTACTATGCACAGGTAAATAAAGGGTAACTTGTTAACAGGATGCCAGCCTCTGTGGAGTTATTTCATCAATTCTCTGGGTAGTCTCTGTTTCTTCAGCCCTGGCCTGTTGCCCATCCCCCACATATTTCTCCTCTCTGTGTTGTGACTGCACCTTTAGCAGCCTAGGTCCCAAGTTCTTGAATTCTCTCTTAGACCTCTTCACTCACTCTCTTCCTTTAGGACAGTTCTTTAAAACCCATGGGTACTGACTTCTGCCTTCTTGGCTCTGTCAATTTTAGTTTGGCTCTTCCCTGAACCACCTTGGTTGCATTATTTTACATTGCAAGTGCTATAAAAGTGCAAGTTGTTGTTGCGTTCATAGCTCCCTGTTCTAAATAGCTTCGACTCCTTTTGAAAAGTTATTTGTCACCACATAGTTGGAAAACTTCCTAACTGAAGTTGTTATAGATTTGTTCATTTGAGTTAAATACTTGTGTGTCTGTGTGGTGAAGAGCATGTAATGCTTTTTCAAGCCATTTAGTTTCAGTCTAAGTTACATGGTATACTCAATAATTTGATAAAGCAGTTGCAACCATTAAATTTAAACTGCTGCCGTTTGTTAATAGTGTACATCCCGGTTCACACACGCAGCATTCCAGTCATGTCTCCACAACATTATTTAAGTAAAGCTGAAATGTTAGCATGCTGTACAGCAATGGAATTGGCGCTGTCCAGGGTTGCTGTGTGTTAGTAACCTGGAGCTGCCAAGATGCATCTGAGGGATAGTGAAGGTGGAAACTGATCGGTCTTTTCCTTAGGCAGCGTGTGGCATCCAGGTCTCACTGCTGTGGAGTAGTGCTCTAAAGATGCAGGCTCAGCAGAGTCATACAGCACGGAAACAGACCCTTCACCCCAACTCATCCATGCTGACCAGGTTTCCTAAAATGAACTAGTTCACTTGTTTCCGTTTGTCCCATATCCCTCTAAACCTTTCCTGTCCAAAGGTCTTTTAAATGTTGTAATTGTATTTGCCTCCACCACTTCACCTGGCAGCTCGTTCCATACAGGCATCACTCTCTGCGTAGAAAGGATGCACCTCAGGTCCCTTTTTAAATCTTTCAAACTCACCATTTGGTGGCTGTCATTCAGCTCAGACATCAGAACCGTGGTGACCGACCATCCTGGGTTCTCCAGGGCCATCCTGTAACTGCGTCTCTCTGGGACGTATTTTGCTGTGGACTTGTTTCCTGTCTCAGTGGCCCTTCTCTGTGCCTGTCAGCTGGGCATGAGGGCTCATCCTCTAAGCTGTCCTGGGATGGGGTTGCAATCCTGGGGGTATCTATGAGATACGAGTTAGCATGTCTCAGAGCTCAGGCAATTGAGTAAGCTGCCCAACTGCACGCCACTAGCACATACGCCACCCTGACCACGCCACCACCCCCCAACCACCAAACCACCACAGAAACAAGGGCTTAGAGAAAACAGAGGCCAGGGTCGCACAATAAATACTGACCCAGCCAGTGACACCCATGCCCCTCGTATGAATAAAAGTGATGCTCAGCCTGCTATCTTCCTCTGCAACAAGTGAAGTCCTTGTGACGTGGATAAAAAAAGGTAAAGTCAGTATAATCCTACCAGACTATGAGGGCTCTCATTAGACAGAAACGACTGGTGATAATTTAAACTGAGGGTCACCTCAGCGAAGAATCCACCGTTGTAAACATTAATCAACCACAGCTCTGTGAGTCCCTCAAATGGCAGTAGGAAAATGACCAGATCATCTAGTTTGGGTTCTGGTTGAGGGATAAATGTTGGCTTGGTGGTTCAATGGTTAGTACTGATGTCTCACAACACCAGGAACCCAGGTTCAAATCCACCCCCTAGCGACTGTCTGCATAGGGTTTGCACATTCTCCCCATGTCTGCGTGGGTTTCCTCCGGGTGCTCCGGTTTCCTCCCACAGTCCAAAGATGTGCAGGTTAAGGTGGATTGGTCATGCTAAATTACCCATAGTGTGCAGGGATGTGCAGGCTAGATGGGCGAGCCATGGGAAATGCAGGGTTACAGGGACAGAGGTATTGGGGTTGCTCTGGGTAGGATGCTCTTCGGAGGGACAGTGTGGACTCAATGGGCTGAATGGCCTGTTTCCACACTGTAGGGATTCTATGATTCAATGAAACCAGGAGATAAGTAGTAGCATAGGATCTTTTTTACAGGTACCTGAGGGGGCAGACGAGACCTCCATTTAACACCTGATCTTAAAGTCAGCATTTCTGACAGTTCATAGCTCCTTCAGTATTTACTGAAGTGTGTCATTCTGGATAATGGACTTGACTTGACCTTGTGACTCAGAGCCACCAAGTTTGACATTGGTACAATTAGTTCTCCTATAACCTGATAGTTGCATTCTTGTGTGACCTCACGCTATAGAAAATCACGTTATAGGGAAATCGCTATAGAAAATCTCTATACCTATACAGCAGAAAGTTCGCGTTATTCAAACAGTGTCCACTATTCATCAATTGCGTTATAGTCAATTTGCGTTAACAAAACACTTGTTATAGCAGAATTACCTATAATGAACTGAGGGCCCTATACAGAATCACTTCATATCAAATAGCTAAGGCTTTCATAATATTTACGTGTTCATGTTATAAAACTTCAGAATCTGACAATATTCTGCATACACGTCCTTGTTGTTATGAACGGGGAATAATCTGTCTTCACACCATGTTATCGAAGAAAGAAAGCTTTCCTAAAATTTTGCAGAGTAGAATGTTTACAATAAATAAGTCGCCTTTTCTCTTCATAACATTGGTTTTGTTTTTAAATGTGCTTGTACGTATGATGTGTCAATGTGACTCCTTTGCTATGAAACACTTTGTGGTCTGTTGTTTCCTGACCCAAACTCGAACTTGATTCAATTTTGAAACTTTTATCCTTTCTTTCATAATCTTTTCCAGATTTTGTTTTGGAGAAAGCAATGCACAAATGCATTCTGAAGCCCCTGAAATCTTACATCTATGCGACTTTGAAACAATTCCATGTGTCCGATGGCTCCTGGAAGCAGCTGAAAGAGAATCTGGTCTCTGTTAAACAGAAAGTCCCTCAGGAGCTGGGAGTAGATGCTGCAGTCCCTGATACTGTCACCTTGGACAAAATAAAGCACAAGTTTTCAAATATGCACAAGGCCTACTCTCCTGAGAAGAAGGTGTGTCTGCTACTAAGGGTCTGTAAAGTTATCTACAGTGTTATGGAAAACAACTCAGGTACAGTATTATTTTACTAAATTGGGCATTGTTGTTTTAATCAGTTAATACATGCCTTTAATGTGCTAGGCCTGGGTCAATTAAGGACAAGTGGCACAGAATTGTGAAAGATAGGTTATACCTAATCAAATCTAACAGAGCACAGCAATAAAGGGAGAATACTGCAGATTCTGAGGAAGGGTCACTGAAATGTTAACTCTGATTTCTCTATACAGATGCTACCAGACCTGCCGAGCTTTTCCAAGAATTTCCGTTTTTTGGCTCTTCGTTTTAATACTGCAGGTGCTGGAAATCTGATAAAAACACAGACAATGCGGGAGAAACTCAGCAGGTCTGTCAGCATCTGTACAGAGAGGAAAAGTGATAATGTTTTGAGTCCAGTATGATGCTTTGTCAGAACTTCTTCAGAGTTCGAAAGAAGATGATATTGCTTGTTGACTTTCCAAAGGTGTTTGGTAAATTGTCGCAAGGGAGGCACAAGAGTTTGATATGGGAGTGCAACACCAGAATTTATAGATGGCACAAACATAGGAAAAGCCATTTACTATTCAGAGAGCTGCAGGCAATTTTGGAAGATTTGAACGTTTTGATGCCAGATAAGAGTTGAAAGGAATAGCAATGATATAATACCGTTTGGGAAGAGAGAATGAGAAGGGAGTATGTACCAAAAAATCGTGTAACTTCAAAATAAAGAGTAAAGAGACCTCAAGATTGAAGTGGGCGAATATTTGCGAGAGTACAGTGTAAAAAAGTTATTACGAATTTAGGGCCTGTTTTAGATTTCTCTGGGGTACAGCAATATCAGTTAACCTTATCAGGGGTCTGATTTAAGGGTGTGTCCGAATAATCGGATATCGTGCTTCTCTCAATTTCCCTCACGTGCACAACTCCAATTTTTTCTTTGGTAAGGTGAAGCCAGATCAATGGAGAATTGCTTTATTTCCCAAACAGCAGGCGAACTAAGCAACACAAAGCAAAGCAAGCATTTATTAGTGGTTCTTGTTTCCCTCAGGGAAAATTTGAATGAAAAGTAATAGCCCATATGCTGGCTGATGGGCCTGGGATGAGAACATTGATCATTATTGTCGCAGCAGTCAGACCTCCCTATGTTTTCAATGGCGGCAAAACAAAAGCAGAATATTGTGAATGATGGAAATATGAAATGATCATGAAAAAACATGCTGGAAACACTTAGCAGACCTGGCAGCAGCTGTGCAGAGAGAAACAGAATTAAGGTTTCACATTGAAATGGCCTTTCATTAGAGGTCACCATGACCTGAAAGATTGGGTGACATGTAAAGGAGGTGACGGGAACCAACCAGGCACTTAACTGGACAGCTGCAGGCCTTCCCTTGGATCAGGAGTTAATATAAGGGCAGGGTTTGGATCTCAGTGTGCACCTCCTTCTTGTATGCCTTTGACCAAGGGGCACACCTCCTGGAAGCAGTGGACATTTAAAGGCCTTTACTGGCAGACTGGGCAGCAAGGCCTTCACAGTCCCCACTGTGGACTTAACCAGGACAATGGCAGGAAGGCCCTTCTGCCTGGTGAAATGGTGGAGACATTAAATTCCACCTATTAACTCTGTTCCTGTACACAGTGCTCCCTAACCTGTTGAGTGTTTCCAACACTTCCTTCAAATCCAGATGCAACTGTTGTCTGTCAGTTTCTTTGTAAACCTGAGATAACAAGGTGTAGAGCTGGATGAACACAGCAGGCCAAGCAGCATCAGAGGAGCAGGAAGGCCCATTCTCTGCAAAGAGCCTCTTTGTAAACCTGCTCAGGTTTATGGTCTGAAATAAATATAGTGCTTAACTATAACACGGTCTCATGATAAATTCTAATCCAAAGCATGAAAAGAGAAGTCGGGAAGCACTTATTTACTGCAAAGCAGATTGTTAAGGTTTGAGAAACTGGTCAAGGTAGGCTCCATAATTGGTTCTATAAAGCAAGTGGATTATATCTGTATATCTTATTATGCCTGTAATATATACTGGGGAGTGGAATGGTTCTTTCAACAAGAAACCTCCTCCTATACCAATAAATTATGTATTTCTACAATTAAATAATAAGATTCTGCTGTGCAAATTGTATAGTTTCCTGTAGAATTCTATCTCTTTTTTTACCTGGGGTGGAAGCGATGGAGATTTCAGTAAAGGCTGATGGTACCAAATATAAACTATTATTGTTGGGTATTCCATTTGCCCCAGCAAAACTGAAGTCAGTGGTAATCGGGGGAAGAGGGGTCATCTCCACTGGATCAAGTCCTACCTAGCACAAGATTGTGGTTGTTGGAGGTCAGTCATCTCAGATCTGTGGCATTGCTGCAGGAATTCCTCAGCTTTGTTTCCAAAGTCCAACTGCTTCATCAGCTACCTCATTGATGACCTTGAAGCTCCTTCACCAGGGCTGAAGTGGGGACATTTTGCTGATATTTGCTCAGGCGTCGATTACAGTTGGATAAAATCGAAATACTGCGGACGCTGGGGATCTGAAATTCAGACCAAGTGATGGAGAGAATCTGTGAAGGGAGAAACTGTGTTAATATCGAGTCCAATGACCCTTCTTGGGAACCCATAGGTGAAGAGGCAGAAGAAGTCATATTGGACTCAATGTTGACTCTGTTTCTGACTCCACAGATGCTGCCAAAACAGCTGGGTTTCACTAACTTTGTTTTTAATCACTGTTGAATGTTGCACATAAAAGGAGAGAATTCATTTTTACCTCAAATAAGGGGCTGATGCTTAGGCTTGTTCCTAATTGGGCTTGACCGACTTAACCAGAAGTCCCTCTTGTGAAGAGTTTCTTGATATTGATCCTAAATTAGCCTTTCACCAGTTTGAAGTAATACTTTGGTATGAGGCTGACACACCTTTGGATGCCCAACGAAGTATTTGATTGAGCAACTGAGATGGCAATTTCTGTAATGAACGGGAATCATGATTTCATCCTGAAATGTACAGTGCATGCTATCACAAGAAGCAGATGAAAATCTTGGCTCTAATGAATCTGTTTCATTGTACCCACAGGAAGGTTATATGGGGCTGATGACTTCCTGCCTATGCTGACCTATATAGTAGCCCAGTGTGACATGCCAGAGTTGGAGATTGAGATTGAATACATGATGGAATTGTTGGACCCATCACTACTGCATGGCGAAGGTACAAAGCAGCGTTATTATTCGTGTTGATGCATTTTTGGAGCACTGCTTACTGAATGGTTCACAACGACTCATTCATTTGACTCTACCTCTTACAATGAAGTGGCAGCAAATCCTGTACAAAGGTTTATTTTGATGGTGACTGGATGAATTATTCCACTCCACAGGCCACACAGTGGAATGGCACAACAGTGTCGGGAGGAGAAGAACACAGTTTGCTTCCGCAGTTACCTGAATGAATGACACATTTCTCGTGTTTTTGGAATGAAATGTTTGGCTTCGTCATGGGGGGGTCGGTGGGGGGGTGCTGATGGAAGCAGGTCAGCTTTTCTGTTTAATCATTTACTAGAAGCAGATGCCTTCTAGGTTTTTAAGCGCTGTTAAAGCTTTCCTCCTGTCTTCACTTTAAAATTGTGCAGAGCAGGGCCGGCCATCAGAGGGGGGAGATGTCGGGAATGGAAATTATAGAAAAAGAAACTTATTACAAAAGTAGGAAGAAATTGTTATTGTAAACTTATTTTAGTGGGGTCAGGAATGGGAGAGCCAGAAATACATTGTCCTGGATAAACAAAAACAAGATAAATCAATTTATAGTGCATTTAACTTGTTTTATTATTGACTGGAAAGTAATCATACATTTGACGAGAATAAATGTCGAAATGAAAAGCTAATTTTATTTTGCACGTGAACTGACTAACACAATTAACGTTGAAATGAATAAATTAGTACAGTGAAACATTTGGAATGCATTCCTGGCTCTTAACTGGTGTTTTACTGGGAATGATTTTGTGTTGGAACAATGTGTTTGATTTGCCTGTTTGCTGGAATTTTTATTGTTTAGACACAGGGAGTTCTCCTTCCTTCCCATTCTTGTCTGCGTGTCAGAGCATCATCTATTATCTTACTTCCCAGTTAAACTCACGTAAATGGCAAGCTACAAACAAAATAATTCATTATCAAACCATTTTTTGACAAGTTCACGTAAATGCCCTTTGCAGATATAAAATCATGACTACTCCTGACTTGAGAAGTGAGGCGATTTGGCTCTGATGGTGTCAGCCTGCCTGTAAAATCCTATAGATCTCTACAGGAGCTCAAGGTGATTTGCCAGACTACCAGCTATAATCCTAACCATTTTCCTGTCTGTGTAAATGGATTCCACTTGAAAATCTGAAGGATTATTGGGGAAAAAAAAAACATATTGGGCTGGATTCAGATCTTTCATAAAACCTGGCAAGTGAGCTGAAGCGTTAAACTGTGTCAAGATATTGCATGTCCAATCAAAGGATAAAGTAGCTTAGAGAAATTACTGCAACTCAACATATAGTGGGCCAAATTGTAGTTTTAAACAATGCAATCCATTTTGAAACAGTTTGATTATTAATTGTAACACCGTAGACATGATTAGAAGTCTCAAGCAGCCAATCTCGGAAAGACCTGAGAGACCCCGAGGAATTCGAGCGAATGTAGTAGCCTTTGAAAAGAGGGAGAATACAAGTTAACAAGTCACATACAGACACTCTCTTGTTGGAATCTCCAGTTCTGATGACTGGTGTCTTCTCAAAATCAGCCTGTCTTTTCTGTTTTTGGATGCTGACAGGTTTGTTGTCAGTTGCCAGCTTCACTTGTTTTTAATTATTTTGTTTTAATTGAACAAAATAAGAACCAATTCCTATCAATCCCCAGTGTAAAAGAATCTAATAACCTTCCCTCCGCATTCAGCAGCATTGATATCATTGAGACCCTCACCACCAATAACCTGTGGATTCACCAAAGACCTGAAACTTAACTGGACTGGCAGGATAAATACAAGAACAGTTCAGAGACAGGGAATTCCGTGGCAAGTAACTTGCATCTTGACTCTCCGCAATCCGACCACAAGGCACAATTTAGGAGTGTGACAGAGTGCTCCCCGCTTGCCTGGTCCAGTGCGACACTGTCAATACTCAAGAAGTTCGGCACTAACCAGGAAAAAGCATTTTTGCCTTTTTGACACTCTATCTTATCACCTTAAGCATTCACTCCCTTCTTTGCTCGTGCACAATGCCATACCTGTGGCACTGTGACATACAAGGTGCACTGCAGCAACTTCCCAGGATTTTTTCAGAAGTATCTTGCAGACCCTTGATCTACACTGCTTAGAAAAACAGGGATAGCAGATACTTGACTACCCACAGCCAGTATGTTCTCCTTCAACTCTCATAGCATCCTGACTTGGAACTAGATCAGTGCTTATTCACCGTGGGGTCAAACTCCAGGAACCCAAATCCCAGCAGCACTAGCAGTTAACTCGTGGAGTGTGTTGGTTCAAGACGATAGCACTCCACCACCCTCTCGAGGACAAGGAATATTTGCCTCGCCAGTGGATCCCACATCCCAGGAACAAAAAAAAATCCTCTGCAATTGTAAGGTATCAGTTACTAAAGAAGGAAAAAACAGCTTTCAAGCCTTTCCTCCTCTAAACACCACCACCCCTCACTGCCACCCAGACCCATTCCCATCCCCATTCCCACACCTTCAGCACTGCTGAAGGGAAAATGATGATAGCTGGTCATTTTTAAGCAAAGTCTCCAATACACCAACTTACCGTGATGTGTAAAAGGAAACTCCACAAAATATGAAATTTATAAATATGCTTAGCACCAAATAGCTTTGACCAAACTCTCTCTGCCATCTGTCATAATATTGTATTAATTGACTCGGTGATCAGCTTTGTTTGACAATGTTCATTTGGGGTGTTGTGGTGCAAGTTGGTGTTGTTTGTATATTGTCTACTTGCCATACCTAAAACCTAGCCGTCACATGGATCCTGTTCATCTAACCCCTCCTGTTGCTTTGCTCTGTGTAGGTGGCTATTATCTGACCAGTGTGTATGGAGCCCTCTCACTAATAAAGAATTTCCAAGAGGATCAGGCAGCCAAGTTATTGAGCTCACAAACCAGGAATACTCTAAACCAGTGGCACAAGAGAAGGACAGCAGACAGCAGAACAGCTCCTTCAGTGGAAGACTTCCAAGTACGTTGCTTAAGGCAACATGCATGATAGATGTTGAGTTGAGTGTACCTTTACAGGTTAAATACATAGCACAAAGTTCTTTTAGTTTTGAAAGGAATGGGTATTCCATAACATCCTGTCTGTTCACTGATACAGCTTACCTGTGCATGTTTCGTGAGATTTATTCCAGTTTACATTGTTTTATTGCACATTCGTGTCCTTCAGTCTTTTCCATAACTCTACTCCCAACTCTATCTATCAAAATTTGGGAATTGCAACATTTAACATTTAATAAGTTTATAAATGTTAAATGAAATACTGTGGTATAGTTTGAACATGTTAATCGCTCTACTAGCTGTACCATTTAAAAAATCTGAAAACGCAGATCTTGTGCAACAGTCCTTGTGAATTCCATAATCCTATGGGAAATTGGATTGCTACAGTCCACCTGCTTGTTATCATGCAGTTTAACTGGACACACAGGTTTTAGATTTGGATACCAATGACTACCAGCCTATACAGCAGTCTTTTCTTGCTTGAAGCTGGGTGTATGCAAGGCACTTGCTAATGTAGCGTTTCACTTGTGGAGATGGTAGCTTCAATCAAATCCTATGAGGTTGACCATTTATAAGCAATCAAATACAATTTTAGATAAGCTGCAGCCTGGTACCTGCTAAATGCCATTCAATAATGATTCCCTTTCTTTTTGTTTTATCTCTATATGAATAGAACTACCTGCGTGTGGCCTTCAACAACACAACAAGCGGTTGCACAGCCAAGACGTTACTGGTGAGACCATTTACGACAACAGAGGAGCTGTGTGACCTCTGTGCTGCCAAATTCCAGGTTCAGGACACTGAAAACTACAGCCTCTTCCTTCTCATTAATGACACCTGGCAGCGGTTGGCTCCTGACACCTTCCCTCAGAAAATCAAGGCAGAGCTGCATAGTAGGCCTCAGTCGCAGATGTTTTATTTTGTCTACAAGCGCCTTCACAGCGACCTTCCCAGCAATGCCATTGAGAACAGCAACATGGCTCCAGAAGAATGCAGCGTCACTTCTTAAGCGATGAGACCTATTCACTGCTTTCATATCATCGGGCATCTTGGACGTTGTTTCAACTTTATTTTAATTAGTTTTTGTAGCATGCCAGGGATATATATTCTTACAACCCAGTAAACCTTCATAGGTAAACCATTGCTGACGTCCTTGGAGCTGGGTGTGTGTGTAACACTTGGCCAAAGACACAGCTGGTTATTGGGGTTTTGCATTGTATTGCAACAGATATTCACTCTGTGTGTGACAAAGTCCAGTCAGATGCAATGCATCAGTGAGAACTGTCACAGTAGCTGGATGATTTGCATCCTACTCTTAAAGACTGAACAAGTGGGAATAAAATCAGTTTGGGCGCAGGCTGCATAAATGGTTTTATGTTTATAGGAAGACTGTGTTTCTGTGGATCCCAGAGACATTAATTTGGTAGCAGTTGCTGGTTAACTGAGATTTTTTTAAAGTTATTTTTTTAAGCCAGAAATGATTATTCTTGTAAACATCTGGGCATATAATTGAAATAAGTGTTGGATTTTTTTGTAGTTTTTTTAACTATTCGCACACTATGTCGATCAATTACTTTTTATCTCGAGCATAAGGTATTTGCTTGATAAGTGAAATTGTTTGTTGAATCATTTACAACACCACTGTTGTACTGTTGGGTTATATACTGCTGCAATGTTTCCTGATCAGCAGCACCATCTGTGCCCTTTTATTCAGCTCCAAATGAGATGCAGCATCACCCGAGTCAAATATTCAGCGATGTGGCCTGTGTAGGTTGCGTGTGTTTACTGCTCCAGGCATATTCAACAGCGTCCAATCCCACACCTCCTTTTCATAAAGCAAATAATGTGGCCAGTCCTAGGCACCACCCATTAATAAGGGTGGCCAGGCCTCCAAGGGAGCGTGGAAGACATTTGCTAGAAGGTTAGCAGGGACGTGGGAGTTAAGCTTTGTGGACAGTCTGGAGACACTGCAGTTATTCTTTTTAGAGCAGGAAAGGTTAAAGGGGCAGTTGATGGGAGGTGTTTGAAAACGCAAAGGGCTGATGAGGAGAGAATGTATCGCGTGATAGAACAGTTTGATAAACAAACCACGGAGTTAAACTAATCGGGACTTGGTGAGAGGACACCACAGCCACATGAAGGCATGAGAAATTACTGGGCGAGTTGTTCTGATCTGGAACCGACTGTTTTAAAAGAGTCATGCAAAGATATTCAACAGGAACTTGATAAATAGGAAACTGGAAAGATTTACATGACAATGAGAGAGGACTGGGACCAATTGGACAGCTCTTTCAAAGGGCTAGTACAGGCCAAATGATTTTGTCCCCTCCTGTGTAATTCTACAATTCTGTGTAATAGTTTGAAGAGGATCCGTGGTGTGGGAAGTGGCGAAAGTGTGGGAGTTATGGAATATTGTTGAACTGGAACTGCGCTCTGTATCCAGTGTGCACCATATCTGAGTGGGGAGTGTTTGTTCATTGAAGCTGGATGCCCAAAATGGTGAGTGTTGCACTTCTGAGAATTATCTGTCCCTCCCCTTATTGAGGACCAAATAAATGTTACTGTTCTGGCCTCACAGTGTAGGAAAGAGCTTTAGTGTTATAGTTAAAGGTGGGCCATGGAAGGTTGAATGAGAGAGGGAGAGACAGCATGCAGTACAAAAGGGAAATAAAAAGACATTTGATTATAGCAAGAGTGAAGGTAGAGTGGACTAGCAGTATTGAAAGTAAACCTGACCGTGTAATTGTTGTTCAGGCACCATTTTATCACTAATTGAATCCACCCACGCATTCTCAGTGGAGCTGTTAGATGGTGGGCAGACTTGGAAAGATATATTGATTTTTTTTTTTTTACTGTGTTTATGTTTAGTTGCTACATCATTGTGTTTACATGTATCTTCACTGCACTCTCAACTGTCACTTAAACATTCCATGCTAGCTTTTATTACAGTGAGATTACCTTCTAGGTAACCCACATGATGCCCTGTAGAAAATAGCATCCTTTTGCATTTTGTATCTGTAATTTTGAGGGCCCACTTCTGTAAGCTGACTGTCAATGGTTTTGCATAAATATATTGTGAAATGCCACGTAGTATTTGTTGTCAGAGCAGTGCTTTTTAACCCGCTGAGGTGTGTGTTGGAATCCAGCCCAGGAACTGTTGATCTCATTGCTGTCCTTTGATGAACCCTCTCGGGCTCCAACAATTAAATGATTTTTAAGGCAGTCGTTCAACTGCACAAAAAACTGCAAACAGATTGGAATTCAGCGACTAGGATATCGCAAGGTCTGCAGATGCTGGAAGTCAAGAGTCGATAAAATGTGAAGCTGGAGGAGCGCAGCAGGTCAGACAGCGTCAGAGGAGCAGGAAAATCAATGGTTTCAGGTCAGGACCCTTCAGGACTGATGACCTGCTGTGCTCCTCCAGCTCC